ACCAATACTAAAGTCTTGGAATCCTTATATATTAGGGGGCATTTTTAACAAGCTTCCAGCCCCACTTTTAAGCTGCAACTGTCTCTCCCCCATACATGCTGGCTAACCTGCCTGGCTGCCAACAAACAACCAGTAAACTGAAAAACAAATAGAATGACACATGAAATTTCCTTATTAAACCGCTTACTCGCGGACCTTACAATTCAATCCATTTCCTCCAAATCCTACGCGAACCCTCACATTGTTGGAAAAGCAAAAAAACCCAACCCCCGAAAACCCCAATTAAAAAAAAATCTATTTTTGGGAGGATTTATTTATAATAGGGGGGGGGGCCGTATTTATTAATAGGGGGAAGAGATTACCGGCCCCGCTGTAGCCAAGGCTAAGACCTGGCCCAAGGTTACCACCGCTCGCAACACTCGAGGGGTAACCTGCAGCATCGTTGGGCTGACTAACGCCAGCGCCAACCCCTTGGTGGCTAACGCCACTTCCGTAGGCAGGACCATAGAAACTGGAACCACATTGATTGTTCCCAGCTCCATGAGTATCAGCAGCACTACCATAGAACCCAGGTGCTCCACCAGGGTATCCCCCGGTAGGAGCCCCACCACTCGGGCCTCCAGGAGGTCCAGCGCAACCTTGTCCTCCGCCAGGATGTCCAGGACCTGGTGGTGGAAATGGAGCATGTCCGTGACCACCGCTTCCGCTCCCACCTTGACCGGGTGGTCCGCCTTGCCCACCTCCTCCCCCCGGAGGGGGAGGAGGAGGCGGTCCAGCGTTAGCACGCTCATGCCGAATATTGCAGCGCGCACATCGCTCGAGGCCGTCGCTGCCAAAATGACTGTGATCCTCACAAACGTGGTTCCCACAATCCGTGCAGAAATACATTGAGACCTCCTGGGCATTCTTGCGACATGCCCAACACTTCATTTTCAAGAACTGACAGTTGCAACAGTCCCCGTCGTCACCCCGGCAAAGCCTGCAAAACTCACGATTGCACGTAACACACGAGAATTCAGCGTCCGGGTGCCTACGGTCATTGGGATTATCGAGGGCACAAATCTTTGGCGCACCTGGGCCATCGGTACCGGGAGCTCCTCTTGCGGCCGGTGCCGAGGCCTGTCCACGATCAGATGGAGCTCCAGGAGTCCTCCAGCTATCGCCGGGACTCTGGATATCGGCACTAGCTCTAATCTCAGGAGTCCTCCAGTTATCGCCGGGACTCTGGATGTCGGCATGGGCCCTGTTATCCCTACCACCTCCTAGATGACGGTCTGGGTTCGGAGAGACGTTCCCGCTATCGCGGATCGGCCTATCCAGGTTCGGAGAGATGCTCCCGCTATCGCGGATCGGCCTCTCCCCCCTCGATTGCCGACTCCGGACCTCAGATCCCCTATCGGGGACAACAGCAGGCCTCGGGCTCCTATTCCTACCCACATCCCTGTTGGGAGAAACAGAAATGTGTTTTTCGTTGCACGTGCGCGGGGGCCATCCCTCGCACGCCCTGGCCGTGAATGCGACCTGTCAGGCAGTCCCCGCGCCCTCCTGCTTCTGCTATCAGCCCTCTCCCTATCGGGATTGATGGGATGCCTGCCTGCTTGGGAAGGATCGACCCTATCGGGCACATCTGGCAAAGCGTGATCAATCAAATCAACACCTCCGCCCGGTCTCACCGGAAGGCCAGTACCCCGACCGTTACCTTCTCCGGGAGTGGGCGTCGGAGACCTGATTCTGTGTCCCTGCCCCGCGAAAGTCTCTCTCTGGGCTGTGGAGGGTTTACCTGATTATCCTGGACACCCTGAATAATGCCAGCAGCCTCATCGACATGACCTTCGATTTCATAGAGCTGAGCCATGATTCTGTTGTTCATTCCATTAAGAGTACGCACGTTACTCTCGACAGTGCTGATTCTCCGCATAGCGCCTTCAAGCGTACTCCGGAATGAGTCGATTTCACGCCTAACGGCGGACCGTGCTTGATCACTATTCGCAGGGAGATTACGAATCTGCCTTCTGATGTCATCAAGAACTTGATTCAGAATCCCCGAACTCGCTTCGTACTGCTCGACACGGGACTTCAAGGTTTCAAACCTCGCAAGGACATCGTCATGATCCCCATGGTGGCGTTGAACTCCGCGAGATAGATCCTGGACCTTTCGATTGACTTCGTCAATTGCTTCATGCCAGTCCTGCGGGGATACAGGCCCTGATGATCTATCGATCGCCTGTGACCCCCTTCCACTTTGCAGCCTCGACATCCGATTAGCAAGAAGGGTTTGCTCTTCATTAATGCCACCAATAGATTCGGAGGCCCACTTAGCAAACTTCTCATGTTCAAGGAGAGCCTTCTCGAGCTTCAGGTTTAACTCCCTGAAATTCGCGTTCACCCCGCTGCTGCTAGCCCTATCGGACGGTTGCGCGACAGGATTCAAATCCCATTCACCTGCTGGCGTCCGCATCCCGACGGTTTTCTCTACCGAGAACATCCGTCCCTCGAGCTTGTCCAAGTCCTTAAGGATCTCATCCTCGGAAGCAGCATGGCTCCTGTGGACGGCCTCACGATTCTCTTGAATCATCTGGCGAAGCCGATCTGTCGCGGTCTCATTGTCCTTAACAGATTCATGAACCTCATGTGAAAGCAGATTGATCCTCTGTTCCACAACTTCAGCCTGTTCATCGATGGCTTGCCTCACAATGGCTTTGCTGTCAGGAATAACTTCCCTAGCAAACCGTTGAACTATCATTCGCATCCTACCGGCATCAGATTGAGTCGCAATCTCAGCTGTCAGGCGATCGACCTTGTCCTTCGTCTGTCGATTCTCGTCGCTCCATTCCCTTCGCATGGAACTCACCTGACCGTTCAGTAACCTGATTTGGTCAGCAAAAATATGGAACGCCTTCGCGACTGAGCCAGAAACCTCGCCCCTCTCGAGCATCTCCTGGATGTGCAAATCGAACACCTCCTTTGCCCTAGCGTCACCTGATTCGCCGGAAGACTGGGATCTGAGGGCAGGAGGAGTCGATATCTCGATCCTCTCAGGAGCCCCACTAGCCCCGGCATGCCTTCTGGGGTCGCCTACAGGACAATCATCAATCCTGGGTGGCCTACTCGGGGTAGATCCCCTTCTCCGGCTATCGCCAGATCGGGGATCAATGTTGGATGCACGAGACTCGGGGGTAGAGTGAATGTGAACATCAGCAGGATCGGGCATCTCCTCATCCTGCGGAGTTGAGCCCATTGGTGAGGGGCTAGCCCTCCTCGCCTTTGACCTATCGGTCTCAATGGCGAGGGGTGACGGCCTCTTCGCAGAAACACTACGTTCCCTGGCGGTCGAGCCCCATTGAGGTGTGAACTCGTTGCTAGACCTTAGCGTTTCAAGGTCACTGGTATCTCGCCCTAACGGGCTAGCGATCGACGGACGATCTTCGATCCCGAGTGCATCAGCAAGCCGACCATCTCTGGCACCTGACCTAACGATATCGGCAGCCCGCTCAGTGATCCTCGGCGAACCAGTAACCCGGTTCGAGTTCACGTCTCTCTGATTCAACGGACCTCCAAATGTAATGTTGGGAAAAGGGGGAACATTCGGGGTATCACCAATCGCTGGGGGACCTATCGGTCCCTCACGGTCATGGATGGCCTCCAATCCCCGAAGAACTTCCCGACTATCCCTGGCTCTCTCTCTCTCGCCTCGGGCGTCCCTGTCAACACGAAGGTCCCTGGCGGCTCCACGAGAGAGGCTCCTGGGCCTCGCAGCATCACGGATCCTAGCATTTCGGCGTGATTGGTCCTCCTCCTCATCCGCAAAATTGTAATCTTCGCCATCATAAGACTCAGATTTGGCAGTATTAGGGTTGGGCCTACCGGCATCAGATCCCTGCTTTGAGCTACTGCCCCAACCTGCGGTTGATTTCAACAGAGCATCGTATCCGAAGTCTGAGAATTTCCGCTCCTCGTGCTCATCAAACTGACCTGGATTTTGAGAACCAGTGGATCGACCCGAGATATCTCTCGGAGCCAAAACCATAGTCCCTGGTCCTTGCGGCCTGTCCTCAAACTCATCCGAGACCTGCGATTCACCTGGAACAAGAGATCTCGGGGGTCGGGTCGGCATAGCCTCCGGGTCGTCCGAATGGGGGCGGGCCATGTTCATCGCCATGCTGATGAAGTCGAACTGTCCGCGCCTGTGACCTGATTCAGAGCCGCTCCTATCGGAGCGAACCCTCCGTGTCTGCTCATCATCGGTGGCCTGACGGAAAATGCGGTCGTCTCCATCGTCGGTGTACCTGCCACGGCTCCTGGGTGTGTCCCTACCGGGATCTTCACCCCTGCGATCCTGACCTGTCGAACCTGCTTCGAAATCCTCGTAGTCATAGTCCGGTAGGTCCTCACCTGAGCGGAGGCCCCCTAGGATGGCCTCCTCATCCACGACGCTCCTTCGAGATCGTGGGGTCGACATAGAGCTTGTAGTTGATGGTCTCAAGCGCGTAGGAAAGTCCTACGGCTGATAACCTGTGATTCGGGCACGAGCCTGTGCCCAGGCAATGGGTAAGTTGGGGTAAACAAGCCACAAAAGAAAGGTTCCCCAAAAGCAAACCAATCCCCGGTCCCAAAGATCAGGGTTTCCCACACACCAGAGAACAACAACCAAAGGAAAACAAACCAAACAAGAAAAGGGTTAACCCGCAACCTTGGTCGACAACAGGCCGCACGACTGGTCCCTACCAACCTGGCGGCGGCCCGAGGTCTCTTTCTCCCCCGAGATGCCGTCGGTCGACGCAGGGGTTCGGCGACGCCCATTCGAGGCGCGACGGAACCCAAAACTTGAGCCAAAACACCACAGGTCGGTCACTAACGCGACGTCCCTGATGATGATATTAACCATGGCTAATCACACTCTCTTTCTCTCGCCGCAATTCGCTTCATCCCCTCCAGCTGCACTGAAGCGTGCTGCCAGATTCAGCAGCACGCCACATGTTGTACAAGGCAGCAAAACCCCTTCAAAACAACCCCAACTGTCGCCGGAGTGCCCTCTTCTTCAGCCACGGCATCAACTTCTCAAAGATCTTCATTGCTTGATTCTTCGACTGCCCTTGGAAGTGGAGGTTTCGCAGGGTGGTGTTCCCAGTCATGATGGTGAACTTGGAATTCACCTGGTCAAGTATCGTTCTGGAGTTGCCGACGGCCCCGCAGCTTACCCAGGGGTTTGCCGACCAACCATGGGCGGCATCCAGAGCAAACCCATCGTGTGGGAACCAAGCATTGCAAAGTCGAAGGCGCTGTGTCTGCGGAAGGGTCACATTTGGATGCGGCAATTCTCGGAATTCATCTTTAAACCTTGACAATTGCTGAATGCACTCATGCGACCAAACACATGAATTACCCCAAGCACTTGTCAATACATTCAAACTCACTGAAGTACGGAAGAACTGGTGCTGCCCGGGGGCGGCACCATCTGCATGGGCTCTCGCTCCATGGACGGTGGCTTCCTAACATATTGCACCTTCCACGGCTGGCCGTCGGACCAAGGCAAGCCCTCCTCGTCCAAGCTGGCCATGGCGTACATATACCACGTCTCCATCTGGTTTATGCTGCCTACAATTGAATGCTTTGCAATTGCGCGCTGAAGCCAGAAGTTCGCTTTCTCATAGAGTGCGAGGTTGAAGTCTGTGAAATCATTCATCACCTCCAAGCTCAGCACTCCACCCAAGACAGCCATAGCATCATAGCCTCAAGCGGTGCATTGCAGCAAAGACGGGGTTCAGAAATGGAGGCCCTATTCGTGCTTTTGTGCATCAGCTTCTGTATGTACCTCTGAGCTTCTACGCCTCTAAGCCCTGCGTCGAAAAGCGTCTACACACCTGTGCCCCTACAATGCCCGTCTTCATTCATAGTTGTTCACTTTTTAAGGCCAATCTTGCACCATCTTGCACCACTGGGAAACAACCCCAGGCAGCCGCAAGTTCAACAGGATTAGCCAAAAGCACACCTGGAATCAACTTTGGACCTGGCAAGGGACCCTCCAATGAAAGGCACCATCCCCGACAATCATCAGGAACTGCCGCCACTATTGCCTATTCTGTTGCTAGCCCCCCGCGCTCCGTTGGAAATGACCAAGGCAACACCTTGACAATTCCTTCTCCTGTCCCATCACAATTCTAATTTAAAAGAAAGAAACTGGGTGATCGCTTTGAAACTGCCCTGTTTGATACTTCCCGCCCCCTTGTCTTGCTGCAAATCGTGAGGGTCGCTGTGCGAGCATTGTGGCTCAGGGAGGTGTGTATTTCATCGCATTTCTACGTGCTTCTATGCCGTTGTGCATGGCTTGGGCAGCAGCGGAAGCAGCAGCAACTCGCGCTGCTGGCCCCAAAATGCAGCCTGGAAGCCAAAAGGCTGCCACTCCTTGTTCTTATCCCACCGCGTTCTCCAAGCGATCTCGCCTGGCGAGACCGAACGTAAATGGATGTGCAAAATGCAAGCCTCTCTGCACCGAATTGAGAAACAGGCTATTTTATGAAGGCTGACACATGTTATCAACCAAATCCCTGCCAAAAGCAATCCATCCGGAACGAACCGACACATTGCCTGGGTAAGTTGCTATGATTCACAAACCGCCTTTATCGCGACGCTCTGCGCTCTGGGTTGGCAGAAAGCCCTACGAACCACACGCATGTATAGAACAACCCTATGAGAGCTAAAAAGCCTTGACCATGGGTCAGCTTGCTTTATCCCGTGGCGAGCTCGTTATCATTTCCGTGCAGGCAGATAGTCCACGTGAACCAACGGTTCGCAAAAGATGAACGAGGGTGCCCACTGCAGGTGTAAACTCGAGTTTCAAAGGATTACGTTTCGTTTCATAGTTTGCGCGTACCTGTCACAAAGGACTCCCTCTGCCATTTCCAGTTGATGTAGGGTTTGATCTCTTCTTAGCTTTTCCGTAGAACTCGGATGGGCCTGAGCAGCATCTGCCTTAGATTTCCGGTGTCCCTCCGAACGTCCACCTTCCACTTGATCCCGCCTTGGCACCCCTGCCGCAGATATGGCGGCACCAGGATGGCCACATCCGCCTCCGCGTAGGAGGCCATGGGCACCCCCTCCTGGCCATGAGACCCTGAGGCCTGAGAAAACTGCCAAGACGTCGATGCCCCACGTCGATCGCTTGGCTAAAAAAAACGGGGAAGCGCGCGCAAACCCATACACACCTTGGCACGGTCAAGGTAGCAGCCAGCATCCCAGTGAAACAGTGCAGAACAAAATCATCCGAAAAGCGGGCATTGGAGACCGTGGAATTGTCGATCGAACCTCCGGAAGGACTCTACTATCACTTTGTTGGGGGAAGGGGGGGGGGATTGAAATTATGGGGCTATGAAGACACTGGAGTGGAAAGCGGTATAATGTGAGAGAGGCCAGCGCCATGAGCGCTAAGTTTTCCGTAAAAGCACGGTGTTGTTTACTGTGTTTTAGCCACGCGTGTAGCAGTCTGTCATTTGCATAAGCTGTGCAAACAATGGAATGTCAATCATGGCTTCTGACCCTTTTGCTCTCTAGCAAACTTTAATCTGAAGCAAAGTCTCTGTCTGATAAATGTGCACGAGAGCTGCAGACATGACAAAGTTCACAAACAACCTCCGTAAAAGATTCCCCAAACATAGAAAATTCATAAAATTCCCCAACAAACAAATACCCTTAATTTCAAAACTCTTAGCAACTATATCTGGAATGGAAGCCCCCAAAAACCCTCAGTAAATGCAACATGTCCAAAAAACCTCGAGATGTTTGGGAATCCAAAAAAACCTTCAGTAAATGCAACATGAATCCTCAGCAACCATAGCTGCCCTAAGCATTTGCTTGGAATCTTTGGGAAATTTTGGATTTCATGTTCTTCTCGAATTGAGGAATCCTTCACAATCTGGAGGAACTTTGGGAACTTCAATCCCCGACATAGTTGCTGTGCGATTTTGGGAATGTTGAGTATGTTGTTATTATTTCTGATTTCTCAAGATTTTTGGAATCGTGCGTTTACTGAGCTTTTTTTTTTGGATTTGTTTAGGGGAACTCCCAAAACTATCAAGGTTTTCTGGGAATGTTGCATGTACTGAGCGTTCTTTGCGAACTTCCATCCCAAACATAGCTGAGACTTTGGGAATTTTGGCAAATTTCAAATCTGACAGGTCCCACTTCTGAGGTTTGTTTTTGAATTTTGGGGAATTCCCACAATGTTGAGCTTTTTGTGAATTTTAGGGGAACTTCACATATTGAGCTGTTGTTTGGAATTGTGCCTGTCCCGACACAGAGATATATGAAAAACATAACTTTGCCTCGCGCTCACAGTGCTGCTTTCAGAACTGCAAACAAATAGAACAACAAGTTCCCTGAATCTTTAAGTCCTGCATCGCCCCAAACTGCCAAACTGAAAAGACCAAGAAGAACGAAGAATGGTTTTTGTCATGACAAACGACCCGTCCATTAGTTTATGAGTTTGACTTGGGCGCACTTGAGGCGTATCCGTCTTTCTTGCAGCCCTGTCCTGTTCCAGCCATGAGCGCAGCACGAAGAAGTTGATCACCTGTGTGGCGACAGCTTGCTACCACAAATGCCGCGTGCCAACAAGTGCGACCTACATTTGGGCATTTTCTAGCTGCTAGGGCCACAAGCAAAGCCTACGCATGTTCCGGAAAGCGGACTGCATCTGTGATTTTACAAGTCAGCGCTCTGTGCCTACCAATTCAATTCTGGTCTGCTCCAACAGAAGTTGGTCCCCTTGACTGGCACCAAACGAAAGAAAGCAGGCAATCGAAAAAAGGAGCAAGGAGCTGACAATTCCGGGTGATCTTACCCACTTTCAAGCTTGGTGAGTCAACCTGCTCTCCTGCTGAGTGGGCTCCTTTGCAAAGAATCAAATTGTGTTTGAAGTGACACCTGGAGTGAAAAAGATACATCACTTGGAAACTCTGGCACCATGCATTGTTTTTTTGTGTCTCTGTAAGGATGACCTGTCAATGACTGCCCTCCTACGTGGGCCTGCTTGCACCCGGCCAAGCAGCGTTCATCTTTTCGAAGGGCTCCTTCTTTCCCCATACTTCCCGGATGTGCTTGTCATAGACATGCTTCAGCTTCCACACCTTCTCGTCGCAAAAGCGCAGGTAGTCATAAACATGCAAGCGCGACATCAAGCTGGCCGGAAAGCGGTCTCGCAGGCTTTGCGAAGCAGCAGGATCCGTCAAGAGCACCACTGCAGGTGCATGCAACAAGCTTGCGCCCAAAGTCCAGAAGAAATACTCAGGAAATTCCAGGGATGTATTGGAGTCCCACACCGTGCGACCGCCAGCATCTTTCTTGATGTCGGCACGGAAGAATGCATAGACCACGGGAATATCATGTCCAAAAACAGGGTGGTTGATGGCAAATGAGATTCTGGGATTGGTCGCTGTTGTGCTAGGAGTGCTCTCACTGGTGGTGGCTGTGCTCGCGGTGGTGGTTGTTGTAGTGGTGGTGGTTGTGCTTGTGGTGGCTGTTGTCGTAGTGGTGGTGGTTGTGCTTGCAGTGGTCGTTGTCGTAGTGGTTGGTATTCGCAGCCAGGGCATCAAAGGTCGAAACCGCTCCTTCGCCTGGACCTTGGTCTTGCCTCGCAAAGTGGGTTGAAATTCCCAATGGAGGGGAGTGCAAGAGAAAACACGGGATGCAACACTTATACTCATATCTAATTTACACACCTGAACACACCTGGGCAACATTTCTTGGACTCTGATGCCATGGGCCCGCCTTGGAAATGCAGGTTGCGTAGTCTGGTGGGACCAGTGCTGATATTGTAAGAATGGTTCGCTTTGACCACTACCTTTGACTGGCCCTCTGCACCACTGCATTTGTACGAGTCCGCTTCCCAGCCATGCGCGGAATCCAGGACCGTGCCGTTGTGTGGAAACCAGCCATTGCACAGCCGGAGGCCTTTGGCTGATGGAATGGTGGCGTTGGGGTGCGGCAAGTCTTCGCCCCCATACCTCAGCAAGCGCCCCGGTGACCTAATGCAAACCCTGAACAAGTTCCTCCAAGAACGAGGGATGAACAAACTGGATCATTTCGCAAACCCATTCTCCCCCCTTTCTTGTGTTGTTGGGAAGGGGCGGCACCATCTGCATGGGTTCTCGCTCCATGGATGGTGGTTTCCTGACATATTGCACATTCCACGGGCGTCCATCGGACCAAGGCAAACCCTCCTCATCCACGCTGGCCATGGCGTACATGTACCAAGTCTCCATCTGGTTGATGCTGCCCACAAACGAATGTCCTGCAATGGCACGCTGCATCCAAAAGTTCTGCGGCTCGTAGAGCGCCAAATTGTAGTCGGTGAAATCATTCAGCACTTCCAAGCTCAGAACACCACCCATGGCAGCCATAGCGTCGTAGCCTCACAGTTTGGCACAGCACAAATGAGAGCTTGCGGATGGAAGCTAACGACGCTGAATTCAGCACTGTATGCACACGGTTTTGCAAATTTGAAAGCAGGCGCAGCTCCCAGAACCTTCTCTGCCCCCAAACCGGTCAAAACCGGTCCAACTCAGAACCGGTCCTCCAGCCAAACCATCTAGAAGCCGGTCAATTTCCCTCCTCAAAAACAGCCCGGCTCCGCCCCCGAAAGCCTGCCCGTCGAAACCGGTCAAATCCCCCTCTAGAAGCCAATCAAAAAAATCACACCGCTAGACACCGGTAGATTAATCCCCTCACAAAAAAAAACCCGCCAGCTCCGCTCACAAATCCATCGAAAAACCGGTCCAAGCGGGAACGCGAAGCGTTTGCCTTATGCGTGCCTCTCTGCATTTCACTGTCTACTTTCCCTGCGCACGCCTCCATGCATTTCATTGTCTACTTTCCCTGTGCCCTACGCATGCCTCTATGCATTTCACTGTCTAATCTGCGCACGTCTCTATGCACTTCGCAGTCTACTTTCCCTTGGCATGCCTCTCTGCATTTCCCTATCTTCTTTCCCTGTGCATGCATCTATGCGTTTGCCTCAGTACGTGCCCTAAGCGTGCCTCTATGCATTTCACTGTCTACTTTCCCTGCGCATGCATCTATGCACTTCGCTCTGTACTTGTCCTACGCATGCCTCTATGGATTTCACTGTCTACTTTCTCTGCGCATGCCTCTATGCATCACACTGCGCGTTTCATTGTGTACTTTCCCGACGCATGCTTGCATTTCACTGTCTACTCTGCGCATGCCTCTATGCATTTCACTGCCGCATGCATCTATGCACTTCACTCTGTAGTTGCCCTATGGACGCCTCTATGCGTTTCACTGTCTACTTTCCCTACGCATGCCTCGATGCGCTTGCCCTACGCATGCCTCCATGCGTTTCACTGTCTACTTTCCCTGTGCATGCCTCTATGCACTTCACTCTGCGCTTGCCCTGCGCACGCCTCTATGCATTTCACCGTGTACTTTCACGACGCGTGCCTGCGTTTCACTGTCTAATCTACGCATGCCGCTACGCATTTCACTGCCGCATGCATCTATGCACTTCACTCTGTAGTTGCCCTATGGATGCCTCTATGCGTTTCACTGTCTACCTTCCCTACGCATGCCTCTATTCGCTTCACTCTGCACTTGCCCTGTGCATGCCTCTACGCATTTCACTGTCAACTCTGTGCGTGCATCTACGCATCTCACTGTGACACGCGCAATCTCCGCACAGGGTCGCGCGCGAACCGCGAAGATTCGCACGGGACCATAGCGAGAGCGATTCGACACAAAAAGCCCTCAGTTATTTTGCACATCGACCACGCCGATCCCCGCAGAGTGTCGCGCGCGCGCCTCAAGAATCGCAAAACACCCTTAGTTTTTTCACATCGACCACACCGATCCCCGCAGAAGGTCGCCCGGGTAAATTGAAAATCGCAAAACAACCATCAGTTTTTGCACCTCGACCACGCCGATCCCCGCAGGAATCGCCAAAAAAAACGCAGTTTTTGCACATCGACCATCCGATCCCTGCAGAGGGTCGCACGGGCATGTTGAAAATCGAACAGTTTTTGCTCATCGACCACGCCGATCCCTGACAAGGTCTCATTTTCGCAGAGCGTGCTTGGTCCCACCGCGCCGCCTTAAGATACCATTTTTGGGAAAGCATGCAAGTTTCCTCGTGCAAGTTACGCTCGCATTTCACGGTGTACTTGCCATTGCATGCCTCTATGCATTTGATTGTGTACTTTCCCGATGCGTGCCTCTATGCATTTCACTGTCTACCCTGCGCATGCCTCTGCGCATTTCACTGTCTACTTTCCCTGCGCATGAATCTCTGCATTTCACTGCCTACTTTCCCTGCGCGTGCATCTACGTTTCCCTCTGTACTTGCCCTACGCATGCCTCTATGGATTTCACTGTCTACTTTCTCTGCGAATGCCTCTATGCATCACACTGTCTACTTTCCCTTGGCATGCCTCTCTGCATTTCACTGTCTTCTTTCCCTGTGCATGCATCTATGCACTTGCCTCAGTACGTGCCCTACGCGTGCCTCTATGCATTTTACTGTCTACTTTCCCTGCGCGAGCCTCTATGCATTTCACTGTCTACTCTCCCTGTGCATGCATCTATGCATTTCACTCTGTGCTTGCCCTTCCCTGCGCATGCCTCTAAGCATTTCACTGCCTACTTTCCCTATGCAGTTGGGCTGTGCAGCACCGACTTTACCGGAAGAACCCTTCGCAAAACTGTCGGGAACAACAACAATACAGCCCCATTTAGGTTCCTTCCATATCCCTCCACAGAAACACTATCCTAGAAGAGCTGTCTGCGCCTGACCGCAAGCCTGCCAGGCACGCCCAAGTTGCCCAGACGAGGCGCTGAACGGCTTCCAGGGTATGTTCCTGTACCAGTAAAGGCGCCAGACGATTTCGCCTGGACGGCGCCCCCTCCAGAAGCTCGACGCGCAAGAGAAAGGAAGACGGACAAACTCTTCACACATTCGGTCAGAACATTTGACTGGGCAGACCTGGAAAGAGAATTGAACAAACTTCCCATTTCAAAAATTCCTGCCCATTCGCATGCCCATGCCGTAAGGTGTAAGCAGCCCCACTTCAAGAGGGGCGGCATGAGTGACTGCAACATCCCCTTCTGCATAGCCGGCCATTGGAACATTGTCCTTTCTCCAGCCATGCGCGCAAAACGAAGAAGTTGATCACCTGAGCCAACCGTTCTATATGCAGTGTTACTCCGGACAGCTGAGTAATTAATCGATTTGAGGCGGTCGCTTGGACAATTGTTTAGTACATCGAAACAATTCAAGGGGAACTCTCTCATGATTGCAGACAATCTGTGCCTTTGGCGACCGTCGGGCTCGCGCAGCATGCACCCTCAGTTTACGCAACTTTGACGGCCCACAGGTCCAAAAGGCGACTTTTCAAGGCACGGCTCAGGTACACCGTACCGAGTGAGCACACCCGAGAGAGGGCGAACAAAAAGCTGGCACCGTTTGCCAGAAGCTCTTCAAATACATCAACTTCGTAGGTTTTTTTCAGCACCCTCCCTGATAAGCAGTGAGACTGGCTACAAGCACGGTCACCCTTCGCCCATGAAGATGCAGCAGCCGCATTTTTTTTTTATTTTTTTGATTTATTTTTTTTTTTTAGTAATTGAAAAAAAACAAAAAAAACACAAAAAAGCAAAAAAAAACTTGAGTCGCCATGATGGCGCTGATAGTGAAGGATTGGGGGTCGATCCTCCCCAGGCAGACGTATGGCATGGTTTGGACCCTCATACTCTAGACCAGAGTTTTTGCCCATGATGCAGGATCCAAAGCTCCACATCTTCTCAAAGGGCTCGTCATTACTTGCCTCGGTGACCTGCTTGATGTGTGCTGTCTCATGTAGCTCAATTGACATGTTTGAGTCTCCATACCTTGTCATCGCAGTAAGTCAGGTAGTCGCCTATAATGAATGCAAACGCGCCATCATGCTAGGAGGGAATATCTCGACCAGTGTCGCTTCAAATGAAGGATCGGTCAGCTTTTTTTTTTTTTTTTTTTTTTTTAAAAAAAAAAAACCAAAAAAAAAAAAAAAAAAAAAAACAGTCGCCGATGGCGCTGATAGGGGATTGGGGGTCATCCTCCCCAGGCAGACGTATGGCATGGTTTGGACCCTTACTCTTGAGTTTTTGCCCATGATGCAGCCAAAGCTCATTCATCTTCTCAAAGGGCTCGATCTTGCCTCTGACCTGCTTGATGTGTGCTTCGTAGGCATGTTTGAGTCTCCATACCTTGTCATCGCAGTAAGTCAGGTAGTCGTAAATGTGCAAACGCGCCATCATGCTAGGAGGGAATATCTCGACCAGAGTCGCTTCAAATGAAGGATCGGTCAACAGAACCACAGCCGGAGTATGCAACAAACTCGCCCCCAACACCCAGTAAAAGTGCTCATCCACCTTCATTGACACGTTGGTGTCCCATACAGTTCGATTCTCAGCATCTTTCTTGATGTCTGCACGAAACCACGCATACACCAGGGGAATGGTGTTCGTGAATTGGCTGCTTGATCCAGCTGTCCCAGCAGAAACTACTTCAGCAGGGACAGCGGCGGCTGTCGTGCTGGTTGTAGTCGTGGTGCTGGTGGTGCTGGTGGTGCTGGTGGTGCTGGTGGTGCTGGTGGTGCTGGTGGTGCTGGTGGTGCTGGTGGTGCTGGTGGTGCTGGTGGTAGTCGTGGTAGTCGTGGTGCTGGTGGTGCCGGTGGTGCTTGTGGTCGTCGTGGTGGTTGTGGTTGGTGGTTTCAGCCAGGGCATCAAAGGCTGAAAAAGCTCTTTCGCCCTGAACTTTGTATTGCCTCGCAACTGAGGAAAACAGCAGCAAAGCGAACAAACAAACACAACTAGACAACAATTTGCACAGATGTCATGGGCCCGCCTTGGAAATGCAGGTTGCGCAGTCTGGAGGGGCCAGTGCTGATTTCGAAAGAATGGTTCTCTTTGACCACTACCTTTGAAGGGCCCTCTGCACCACTGCATTTGTACGAGTCCGCTTCCCAGCCATGGGCGGAATCCAGGACTGTGCCGTTGTGTGGAAACCAGCCATTGCACAGCCGGAGGCCTTTGGCTGACGGAATGGTGGCGTTGGGGTGCGGCAGGTCTTCGCCCCCATACCTCAGCAAGCGCCCTGGTGACCTAATGCAAACCCTGAACAAGTTCCTCCAAGAGCGAGGGATGAACAAACTGGATCATTTCGCAACCCATTCTCCCCCCTTTCTTGTGTTGTTGGGAAGGGGCGGCACCATCTGCATGGGTTCTCGCTCCATGGATGGTGGTTTCCTGACATATTGCACGTTCCACGGGCGGCCATCGGACCAAGGCAAACCCTGCTCATCCAAGCTGGCCATGGCGTACATGTACCATGTCTCCATCTGGTTGATGCTGCTCACAAACGAATGTCGTGCAATGGCACGCTGCATCCAAAAGTTCTGTGGCTCGTAGAGCGCCAAATTGTAGTCGGTGAAATCATTCAGCACTTCCAAGCTCAGAACACCACCCATGGCAGCCATAGCGTCGTAGCCTCACAGTTTGGCACAACACAACTTGAGAGCTTGTGGACGTGAGCACTGTATGCACACGACTCTGCAAATTTGAAAGCGGAAGACGGGCAAAGAAACTGGGAAAGGAGAAGTGCGAGGACGCAAGCGAAGAAAAAGAGCGGCGAGAAGGCATGGCGAACCAGGAGCGCAGAAAGAAAGAAGCAGCAAGAAGAGTTGGGGGTTGTTGAGGAGCAAAGAGAGGAAGGAAAAAAACAAGCAAACAAAACAAATGAAACGTTGTGGGCTGCGCTGGGCGGCTGTCCGCACCACCCCGCCACTAAATCAGGCATTCTGGGAGGCCGAGACCTCAACAGCTCTCCCTCTAGGACAGCTTTACTGCCGCTGCCCCTGCTGTGGCAATGCACAATGGGTAAAAAGGGAGCTGCCTGCCATAGAGGGAATGCAGGTTGTCCGAGCAAACTTGCATCAGTCAAGCAATAGTTTACACAAGGGTCACCCAGGCATAAGCACGAGAAGCCGCACCCACGCTTCAGAGCACTGCGCGCTCGCAAAGGAAATGCCCATATTTTGTTTCCTACCCAGAACTTGCGACTTGCGAGGATCCCTCCACATCACGCCCAGGTTACCCAGACGAGGCGCTGAACGGCTTCCAGGGTATGTCCCTGTACCAGTAAAGGCGCCAGACGATTTCGCCTGGACGTCGCCCCCTCCAGAAGCCCGACGCGCAAGAGAAAGGAAGACGGACAAACTCTTCAGACATTCGGTCAGAACATTTGACTGGGCAGACCTGGAAAGAGAATTGAACAAACTTCATCAAAAGTCTTCCTGCCCATTCGCATGCCCAGCCTTGGCAGCCCCACTTCAAGAAGGGCGGCATGAGGACTGCAACGTCCCCTTCTGCGTAGCCGGCCATTGGAACATTCTCCTTCTCCAGCCATGCGCGCAAAACGAAGAAGTTGATCACCTGAGGAAACCGGCCAACAACGTGTAGAGCTAGTGGTACGAGTAAACTGCATAGCCCTGAGCCCCTGTGTCAAGTGACAACCCGGCAACTTGGGTTCCAAAACTGAGGAGCTGCATCATGGCGCATATGAACCCAAGACGGCAAGCATGACATCGATGCGGCCAAAGCTCATTCATCTTCTCGAAGGGCTCAAGCTTGCCTTGCACCAGCTTCCTGTGCGCTTCGTAGACATGTTTGAGTCTCCATACCTTGTCATCGCAGTAAGTCAGGTAGTCGTAAATGTGCAAACGCGCCATCATGCTAGGAGGGAATATCTCGACCAGAGTCGCTTCGACTGAAGGATCGGTCAACAGAACCACAGCCGGAGTATGCAACAAACTCGCCCCCAACACCCAGTAAAAGTGCTCATCCACCTTCATTGGCACGTTGGTGTCCCATACGGTTCGATTCTCAGCATCTTTCTTGATGTCTGCACGAAACCACGCATACACCAGTGGAATGGTGCTCGTGAATTGGCTGCTTCTCGCACTCGTTGCGGCAGTCGCGGCGCTAGCTGCAGAAAGGCCCAGGTCCACGCTCGGACCTCTGGCACCTGCGCTATCTGCAGCTCTGGGGCCCTCAACAAGCGAATCAACGTACCTCACCGCGTGCATCACTCGCTCCCTGAAATCCATCCGCGCGTGCCTTTGGCGCGGCCAGAGTCCATCAGCCAGCATGTACACGGTACCCACTAGGACCAATAACGCCCCCACACAAGCGCAGAGACGACATGGTGCGAGCCGCATGCTTGACATGCATAATCCTCTGACCAACTTGTCCAAAACCAACACTCGATAAGGAAACACATCCGGCCGCTGTCCAGTAAATAAGGTCGGAAGCTGAGGACACTAGTCGTGCAAATCACTAGGGTCTTGCAATGTGATCTTCCAAAAACAAAATTGCATGTATCATTCTTTGCACTTTGTGACTTTATTCTTGGTGTTGGAAGGCAGCCCCTGTCTGAGCCACACTGCGGGATGGCCCGAACCCAATGGCCCAATTCGCATAGCTCCCCGGAAGCAGTGTACCAGTGGAGTGGAGAGGCCAGTGGATCGAAGAATTCTGGGTGTGCATCGTGAGGGGCTCGAGGAATCTTGCCGATACCCCCCAAGCCCTCTGCAGGCCGTGTGACGTGAAGGGCTGGCTGCTACGCATGCCGCACTGGCTCATGGCATGTGCCAGGGTTTCAACCAGTGACAAAGCGAATGCAACTGGACTGCGCGGCTCAAAGGCACAAGGCCAGTTGCCTTGCTTCGGCCAAGACGCAGCTGCCCCAGGTGCGCAGCAAGGTCCGGGCACTCGGTGCACAAGAGCTGGTGGAAGAGTTCCTTGGAAAGCAAATGGCTGCACTTTGCAACCTGATGATGGCAGATTCTTCGGGCAAGCAAAGCCTCTAACAATAGCACTCGCAGTTGGAGAAAGACATCAATGCTGACACGATCTGACGCGAGACGTGAGCAACTATAAACAGGTTGGGCGTGTGCAAGGGCACGTCCAGTCTTTCAAGGACCTTTTTCCCGCAAGCTCGTGCTTGCCTACCGTGCGCCCGGTGTCGATCTCTGTGCGACAGTCATGGTCTCGCCCGGAAGGGTTGGCGCAAAAAAAGCCAGAAGGCAGCATCCTCTCCTTGGTTGCTCAGCCAAGACATCACTTGATCTTCACAAGACCTTTTCCCCTTCCCCTAACTTGAATGCACTTTTAGAATTGGCCCTTCATCTTCCTTCCGTTCATTCCAGTACATGCCTGCCTTCATCCTAGCAAAGCAAGTCGCGTCCCAAACACCCTTGACCCAGACAGCTGAACCCATAGACACGTGAGCCGCGATTAAAATTATCTGTCAAAAGTGTCCTCAATCGACTTCACTGATCCAAGTTTTGGAATTTTGCAAGGGTATCGTGCAAGGGTCGCAGGGTAGCGGTTTGCGTGAGTCACCTATCCTTTCCAATTCGCAAAACAGCGGCCAAATGAGACCTCTTCTACATCTGCACCAAGGTATAATTTTGACCCTTTCATATGCATGTGTTACGCCAAGCCCTCACCAACCCCACACCAGTGTACAACGCATATCAAGGTTTCACTCCCCATAGCTAAAACGTAGCTGACCATTGCTAACTTCAATGAAGTGACTAGATGCTCAAAGCCAATTCGCAAACCTGAGCCTTCCGGCAAACTCCATGTACTTCTGTGCAAATGCAAAAGTGCATGCGCAATGTAAACATGTTCTCTACCAGTATTCATGTTTGCTAAGGGCATGGCATTGCCACACACATCTGTGAATTCATGCAAGCCGGACATACGGATGGCTTGCTGAGATTCCCTCTATTTTCTGCATTTTCCGTTGAAAAATCAATGCTGGATATCGAATGTCTAGTTCACGCCAGGGGAATTTGTCGAACAAACCAAGCCATGCGCACAAATCCACGCTGCGTAGGAGGTTCTTCCCTCAGAAAAGGCCAATCACGTCACATGTGTACACCATTTACACCCGACTGCAGCTGTGGCGCCACAATGGAGCAAAGACACCAAAAGGCCTTCTCAGCATCCATCACTGCAAGGAGCACTCCAGCAATGAAGTGTATGCCAGGTTCATAGCCTGTCATCGCTCGGAGATAGGTGAATGTTCGGTTGAGTGGGGGGAGCTCAAGTAGATTACTCTTCCTTGCTCGTCGGGCTGCCGATTAATGTTTTTGTTCATCGGGTTGTGTACTGCTTAGCTGCCTGTGCGGAGCCTACTCGAAGACTATGCAACGTTTCATTTTCGCAACAACACTAGAGCGGGGGTAACTACGCATGAGGTTGCGCACGCTTACACGTGACAAAACAAGACTGGCCCTTGCAGACACTGGCTGCAGCTCGGTTGCCTTTTCATACAGTCGACACCTACGTGGGTAGGGCTCCGAGCTAACGCCTTTCCTATGCTGCTATGCGAAGCCTACGCTTGGACACTTGCCCCGGTTATGTGGTCAAAAAGGTCGTCCCTACAACTGGCAGCTGCTTCCAATCCTTCTTGATTCCTGATTGGGCGGCAAATCAAGGATGTATACATTTTGCGGAGCCTCTGCGAACCCACAAACAAAAAGTGAAGAAACATGCACAAAGACCCCATACCTGACCAGCAGCCTGACTCCAATCAGAAGTTTTCGGTGGACAATTATGTGTCACGTGCCATTTCTGTAGAAAGTAGTCCGGCTTACCCATCTGCCGATTTGAATCACGTGGAACTGAAGTTCAGCCCCCCATCGGCAGCCTACATCTGGGCATCTCTTCGCATATGCCAGAAGCACCGAGTACTTCTTCTGCCGGTACCTCAAACATGGAGCGGCCGTCCTCCGTTGAGAACAACTGTACACTGGCCGCACCGTAAGCCGCCGGAAAAGTGTGGCAGGTGGGAAGCAACTGGAAAAGAAAGGACACCAACAAGCAGCGCAAAACATTTTCTGTCGGTGACATCTTGCTTTGGGATTGGTTCAGGGTGATGGGCTATGATGGGCTTGGGCTTTGGTGCTTGCGATGTAGGCGCGGTTTTGGCTGTTGAGGGCAGGAGGCCACGGGGGGCCAAGGACCATCGAGCTGCTGTTGGCTAAGACAGTGGCTCCCGAACACTCACGAAGCCAATCCCAGCAAAGGATTGCAATTGCGTATGCGCATGAGCAGGAAAAAAAGTCCTGACCTTCGCTTTGCCCCAGTCAGCATTGAACACCCGCTTTTGCACTGCAAGCCACCCAGGGGGGGATGCTGTCTGGGCAGGCAGTGGAGCTCCACACCCACCCCAAGACACACGTGACTTATCCCAAGCTCTCTTACACGACAGGTAGCAGCGCAAGCGTGGGTCCAATTTGGACCAGAAATCCTGGCTGCGCTGTTGGCCCCGCGACAAGCTATCAGCCCAAGAATTCCTGACACCTGCAACGTATGTCGAGCGCAAATTGATCCTCTGATCGCCCTCCTAATCCAGCCTGCTCCTTGCTCTGCGGAAACAAGCAGCTTGCGGCTGTGTCAACCAACCCAACCCTTCACAAGCAGCAGTCGACTGGGGCCGGGCAATGGTAGTTGCTTGCACGATATGCAACCGGTCCCAACATTTTAAACAGCTAATCAACTCCATGTACAACTGCCGCAAACGTCAAAATGCAACAATTGTATGCATGCTGCCGAGGCTCGCAACACAACCTACTTTCGAAAGGGCTTCCGAATCAAGGAGATGGTTGGGAATGGTGCAGACTCAGTCAAGCCGCAGCCCCAAACATCCCCAGACCATGCCAGGTCGTGCAGGCCTTGAAACCTTCACCAGGGCCATATTAGTGGACTTTGTCCACAAAAAGAAACACAGGCAATCGGGTCTGCTGCTTGCTGTTGCGACTCCCTGCAACTGATACTGATCAAGATCCCTATTCATCAAAGAGCTGACGAATGGGAAAGCTAATGCTACGGCTAAGGCTGCGTCGGGAGGAAACACCTCATGCCCGGCTGGCTCATGCCCTGCAAGTGTCTAGGCCTAGTTGCTCTTCCCTCCCTTGGCCAAAGCAGTGCGGGAACACGCGGTCCAGATCCTGAGAATGGCGGATAACAAACATCGGCATTCAGAAGCCGTGCTGTCCAGCCAGCCCCGCCTTCTGAATGCAAGCTTCAGCATGGACCACCCGCCCATCATCCAAAGGCAGCTGCAACAGCCAGTTGAACAAGTCCTGCAAACAAGTGCGCTGAGTCGGAGTCATGCAGCTACCTCCGAGAAAGCAACAACCAGAATACCATTAAGAAGAAGTGAGTGGGCAATTGAGACCTGCATAAAGTGTCCCCCCATGCAGGTCCACGTTGAAATTTCTATCCAGCCTGGTTCTCATCCTCTCGAAGGCAGTCCTTGGTTAAGTTGACAATGCGAAAGTCGTATTAGTTTCTCTCTCTCTCCCTCCCTCCCTCCCTCTCTCTCTCTCTCTCTCTCTCTCGCTCTCTCTCTCTCTCTCTCTCTCGCTCTCTCTCTCTCTCTCTGCACCATCGGTAAGCCGTCCACCAGAGGTGGGGCGCCAAGAGCCCATTTTGTGGGCCCATTTCGGTGTCAGTTTGGTACGAGGCGCGATGCGAAGGCACTGCTGCCAAAAGAGGCTCCGGTTTTGCGACTCGAGCTGGGCACGGCCTGCCGCAGTGTCCAAACCCCTGTCCACATGCGCTTAACGGCCATGGGACATCCCAAAAAACACGCTTGGCTGCGTGGTCAATACCTTTGACATGCAAATGGCCACATAGTCAAAATGACAACTTTGACTTTCAATGGTTCTCCTTGTGCACGCCAAAGATCCAACGTGAAAACACATTTGACTGTATTAACACGGCGGACCGACTCCGAACATGCCCCTAAATGATGAGCGTCACAGAAGTTGTCAATGTTTCTCCCCCCTGACCAACTTCACAACACATCCTGGATGAAAGTTTCTTGGAATCAAAGCCGGCGCTGAGCACGATTAGGCCCAACAAGCATTTTGTTGACTGACTGAGAGCAAACACCAATTGGACTCGCTTGTTGCTTGTCACCATCAGCCCACTGCACTGGGCCCAGCTCGACAAACTGCCTCATGCCCCCTCCCCAAAACAATGGCACAACATCCGACGACGTCACAGCCATGCTTTGCCAGGCAACCCTGGTGCTTGAATCGCTCCAGCCGGATCGAATGCTGCAGGTTCCCCATCGCACGCGGTGCAGCGCTGCTACATGTCCCCTAGACTGCGTAGGCTTGTCCCCGGAATGTTTGGGCCGTCTTTGTTCAGCAAAGGTTGCAGCGATCAAGAGCATCCCCAAGTACTGGCTAGACAGGCTATATGCTTTGTGGCATCTAGCAAACTGTCTGAGGGCATTCAGCCTGCGCGGCGCGGCGCAGATTCTGGGCCAACGACTGCCTGAGACTGCTTCAGCTGGATTTGGGCTAAATCTTTGCTGGACAGTATGCCGATGACCTTCGAAAATAATCACTGTACGTAGAAGGTCAGGTTGGGCAAATTGCTGGGGCAGGTTGGTCGCGAATCAAAAGCAGGATTGCTGGCAGACAGATTCATCCACAAGGCTCCCGACTGCCTGAGCAAGGCTAACAAGGCCATCAGTTGGATCTCCAGGAGCATCCATCCTGTGCCAGTTGCTGCATGACAGGCAGGAAAAGTAGCGGGGATGCACTGCAGCAAATGGCATGGCACCAGCAAAGAGTCACGCTTGCCAGACGCTCATGCCAGGTAAGGCCAGAATATGGCCCAGGAACTTCCATCAGTGGATGCTGCCTTGCCCAAACTCCTGTAATGCTTCAAGTTGATTAAGGCTTCCCAGGGGCAAAGGCCTCACCGCTTCCATCATCTCAGCTGAGTGTCTGAAGCTCCTGCGAATGCGGAAGGCCAAGACGCCGTCCGGTGGCATCTAAAACAATTGGCTGTGACTGCCTCCCTCAAAACCCCTTACGTATGCGATCGTATCATTGCCTTTTTGGATGGCACATTTGGATACATTTGGGCTCTTCTGATCTAGCGATCGGCTTGTCTTCCTTTGTATGTCATGTTCCAGCTGCAAAACTGGCCAGCACCCCTCCAAAGCAGCAGATTGATACACCGGCGAATCAATCACCAACAAACTGCCCATGAGGAAAAAAACTGCTCACATTCATCACTCTGTTCAGCTCCACATTATATGGTCCTTGCCACCTCTACACCAACATTCCCCACCCCAGCTCCCTCTCTGATTTTCACGGCGCGCCAGGCTGCCTGGCTATGGCCCTACAGGTCTGCCCATCCACTTGTGTCTGCTGCCTGGTGGGTGCTAGGTGCCATCGCTCGTTCCTACCGCAAACCACAAGATCCACACCAAAAATTGCCAGGTGGACAGGAAGCACCCGGGCCACGCCATAAAGGGGCCGGCCTTTGAGCAGCATCTTGCTGCCAAAGGTGGGCTGTGATCTACCGGAAGAAGCAGGGCGCAAAAAAGAGGAGTGGTGAACACATATACCAAGTGATCAGGCACATTGCCTCATTCGGAATTCATGCTTGCAGCGAAGGCGCAGCAACAAATCATTGAATCCATTTGCGCTATTCAACTCTGCCAAGAGAACCACCCACCAAAGAACCAAGCGAGTTCTCCCAAACCCCTTCCCATAGGTCTCTGAAAAAGCACCCCGAACTCCCATCCTGGTAAGGCTTTTTCAAGATGCTATAGCAAAACACTCGGCAAGAAGGCCAAAAGCATGTAAAAACCACGTGGCCAACGCAAGTTCATCTGATCCGTGACAATAGCGCCCCGCCCTGATTCTTGGTTGGCTACCACGGTTGGCACTAGCCTTTGGCTAGGTCTCGTTGGCCAGTGCAAGCATGGCTGCAACGAGGCATTACTCAACTGGGTGCCATTTCTGACACCAGAACAAGAATGTAATAATCCACAAAAGCATGCACCTACCAAAGGACCATTATCTCGCTTGCAGGCTCTTCCCCGCCTGGCTTCACATCTGGTCCGCATGGCTCGTCAAACCATTCGCAAGTTGCCCCGTAACCTCGATCTTGCGCGCTACAAGAAGCCCAGAATCTGAAAGCCATGCCTCATACTGCCAGCCACAAGGCAAAGCAGATATTGGGTTTGGGCACAGGGCCTTCGTGATGAGCAGGCTCATGAATGCTCATGGTAGCATCTACAGCTTTCATTGTCCAAGCCCAAAACCAAACGCCAACATTTACGGGCAAGTATGCCTCCACTATTTGTGGTGTGCGTGCATGTAGAGATTACATCAACATGCGCGCACGCACGCACGCACGCACGCAAGCACGCAAGCACGCATGCAACTATCTATCGATGCATTCATGTATGTATATGTGTTGTAAGTGTCATGTATTCATGCATGTATGCATGTAGGCATGTATGCAGGTATGGCAGACTGACTGTCTGTCTGCCTGTCTGTCTGTCTGCCTGGCCTGCCTGGCCTGCCTGCCTGCTTGTCTGTGTGAGTGTATGTTCATGTGTGTATGTGCGGCTATGTGCACGTCAGTATGTGGGGGTTGTACAAAATTACTTTGCCTGGGGACCCCCCAATCGCCGGCCAATCGCGGTCCAATCGCGATCCCACAATTTCCAATTGCGGAGCCACGTTGGTCATAGCTGCTGTGTCTGTTTCGGTTTTCACTGTCTTATCTCAAGCGCTGGCAGTCTTCCGTCTCTGGAAGGAAGTGACATAGCTCGGATGGGCAGGGCCTCACTGGTGAAACTCGTCCAATCGCCGTCCAATCGCCGTCCAACCGCGGTCCAATCGCGGAATTCGTCGGAGAAACTTCGGTTTGCAGCTTCCAGCCTTTGCCAGTAAGCAGATTTAGAAAGCACAGCCTGGGCCTGCGCAGGCAAAATCAACATTCAGCTTTCCGGGAGGAACTTTTGTGCGAGCCCGTGCAATCAAAATGAGACAATAACTTCGTTGCCCTTTCGCGGTCCAATCGCCGGCCTTGCGCGGCTCGAGTTTTACCAATCGCGCGGTTCAGCAAGTTGCTGCTGTTCATAAGTTTTAGACATGCAATTACGGACGGCCCCCATGTGTGCGCGGGCTTATTTGGAGCAACATGTCATACATGCTGCCTCTCTGTAAAAAAAAAAACTCCCGTTTGGCAACGCCTGCCATGAAAGCGGTGTTGTCCAACGCGAGCGCTTGACGCCCGTTGACTACCAGATTTCCTGTTTGTTGTGATCATATTGGCGGACGGTGGCGGGCATACCCCCCCTGGACTCAAAGACAGCTGTTGGGCACGGTGCGCTCTACCGCAGCATGTCAAATGCAGCACCCTTGGCGCCACGGAGCTACACAGGATCATCTTCCATCATTTGTCTCTCGCCTCCGGGATGAGCGGCATCGGTCCACAAAGCTCGCTGACATCCAATTCGACTGGTTGCTCAAACATAATCAGAACGGTCCCATTAACGACACCATACAGGATCGTGCTTTCCTCAGACACCTCGCGTAGCCTACTGGAGTTCCTGGCAGCTATGCAAGATCCTCACGCAGCATTTCACCATCGAGCCCCGAAGACGGATCCCTTGCTTTTCGGCGCTTCTATAAAGTCTGAATTAGCCCACAACACGTTGGACATACAACGCAAAAGAGGCATGGCCGGCAGCAAGTACGCAAAAACATGGCAAACAGACAAATCAACAACATTACACGTAACATAACACAAAGCACAAACACGCGTATTTACCATTATTCACCTGTGGCATGCGAGGGCAAGGTCAGGAACCACACCTGCTCAGGCCTCCCAAAAGCCCGTAGCGTCCTAAATGCGCGCTCAGGTTGCAAAGCGCGGAGGGACACCAACTTCGATGAACGACCAGCATAGCCAAACGCAGTGCGTTGCACAGGGGTCGTGGCTTCGGCTTCGGCTTCGGGGGGTGTGGGGGGTAAGCAACTTGAGGCTCGCGTTTGCATTCCGATCGGCGAAAGCTCTTGCAAACTTCAAAGGGCTCAGAGCGCTCTACCAATCGGCATGGTTTAAAGTGGGAAAGGAAGTCAGGCGAACACCGTCAAAAGATAGATACTATAGGCTTCACATTATGATAATAAACAAACAAGAACATGATAAACAAACAAAAACAAGTTGGACAACTTGTCTATGAACAACCTGGTCAACAGCTGCCTTTGGAACCCGCCTCTGCGAATGCTGGCCGCGGGTCGGACAGGGGCGCCTGCAGCTTCATGAAGCTCAGACATGAACACGACTGCCAACACGCGTCTCCCAATTGATGTTAACCCCGGATTAAGAAAATCCCTGGTTGATTAATAGGGGGGTCCTCTTTTAGTGGGGATTCATCACTTTTGGACGGAACACCCCCCTAGTGCATGTTGCGTTGTCCCCAGGTAAGCCCAATGCACAGGCAGGAAAACATCAATGCACTCCAAGAGCCCGCATGCAAACACTGGCCAGAACATCTTGTTAAACATTGCGTAGAGTGATGGGAACTGCCGGGGATGAGGAAGTCAATGGATTGAAGACAAGCGATCCCTTCCCTTTGCCAGGTCAGAAAAAGACCCTAGCATGCCCACCATCTGTTCGCAGGGGGTGGCACGCCTCTCAGCATGCCCTACCTTGCCTATGAGCCTCTCTCTCGCTCTCTCTCCCAATCTCTCCATCTCTCTCTCAGTCTCTCAGTCTTTCTCTCCCTCACTCTCTCTCTCTCTCTCGCTCTGTCTCTTTGTTTTGTCAAGCTGCTGGGCGTTATCATGGGCGACATGAACTCGTGAGGGCTCAGAGGGCCCGAGAAGTCGCTCTCTGCGATATCAAGTCCTGCGTGGCACGCTGCCAGAACGCCACAGCCTTGTCCCGCTGTATGTGTGGCCATCTTTCTCGGCTCGGCCATGTTTACTCTATTAGTTGGACCCAGCTGAACGTCCCAAACACCGATGCCTGCAAAACGAGTCACCTCCGGAATGCACAGAACAACCGAAAGCCATGTCCATCGCCGAGCTCGGAATTCTTGGTCTTCATGACTTGCACAAAGGACGCAAAGTCAATCCTGAGCTGATGGACTTTCTTCAACCAGAACGCACGTAAAGCAAAACCGTCCGCAAAGCTCGGCACGGGGAGCTGCTCTGAGTGTGACTGTGCACAGTGAATGCACCATGCTACAGCTTTCATGACTGAAGCTATGAAAGGGAACCCGAATGGCACCTGTGACACTTCTCTGGCATCTATGGTCTGAACAAGCAATGTCAGAAAAGGGAAGAGTATGTGATGAACTACCTGCAGTCAGTTTTTATCCCTCTGACAGAAACTAGCCCTGGGTTCCTAATGTTCATAATTTGCCCCAGGTTGTTGAAATGTGAAAGCTCAGGCAACCAAAGTTTTAGCATCCCTCCATCCCTCCAGCAGCCGGCACCGCACGGTAGAGATTTTGGGCATTCCCCGCTCCCCTGGCAGAAGCCCCGTTCCGTGATGCTGAGGGGGAGGGCTGAAACGAATCAAAACCCATCAGCGCCAAGTCGCGCTTCGATGCCCATTTGCTGCAGCAGCCTTATCCTGGCCAGCTTCACGGGAGCGCCTGGCCGGATGGGTGTGCCAAAACCTGACCTGACATGCGGGCTTTTCGGCAATTCAGGCCTTGAAAATTCCTGACTTGCATCGGCAAAGGGACTTGTGAGCCCTCGGTTTTTACAAAACAGTCCTTGAACTGCCGAAGCGGAGAAACAACCATCACCCCGACAGCGCCAAGGAGGAGTCTGCAAATACGTCTTCGTTTATCATATTTGAAGCACTGCGGCATCTTGGTGTGAGCCAGCTCAGCACGCCCAGTAACAATCGGCATCAACCTGCCTGGCAAGGTCTTCACAGCCTGAGTCAAAGGCAAGCTCAACAGACCCTCTCACTGACTGGCCCGTGCTGACCTGCTGGAACCATGGAAACATATGAACATATTGTGAAAACAAGAAAGGAAGCGATTCTGGCACAGTCGCGCTGACATGGGCGTAAACGTGTCGCGCAGTTCGTTCTTCGTTCATGGCCCATCCCGAAATAGCCAACTGTTCAATGAGAACGACCCTGGAAGAGCTAGCACCTACGACCGTGCGAGGGCCAGTAGCTGCACCCTGCAGCCTAGCTGCTCTCTGCAGCTCCTTGACGGAAACATTGTCCTCCTTGATATTGCGCGCCAGGGATCTCCAGAGGCCAATGAAGGAGTCAACCAATTCCTTCTCCTCAGACTGAAAGACTGACCCTTCCCAAACACCAATCTTCCCATGCCCCTGTGGCACATGCGCAGAGGGCCAGTTTGGCCCCCCTTCATGCGTCCAAGTCTCAACCCCCTTGTCTTGTCCCAACGTGCGCCACGTTCCCAGTTGATCCACGTCCTTCATGATCAGCAGGAAGTCATACATGGTGAGCCGGATCTCCTAATTACAAGGATAATGACTGAGCTTCTCCAATGGCGTTGCCATCTTTGTCCCTTTAAATTATAGGATGGTCAAAAGTACTTGTGTTTAGAGAAGCCGTCCCCTCGACGAATCCTACGATTCCCAAAAGTTAGTGACATGCCGGAGAGGGAAAAAACCAAGCCGTTGCACCAAGACATGCGTTGTATGCTGCTCGCAGCCAAAAGGCCACCAGCCCCAAGAAGTATAAGTTTAGCTCAGGGCTAGTTGCCATGCGTTGTACTCTGCTTGTATGTCCTGCTTCCAGTAACCAATGCCCTGATCCTTCAGAATGGCTCGGACGTCGCCGGCAGCGATGTCGATCTAGCGCATGAAAAAAATAGGCCAAATCCGCTCAGCACTGTGGACAACCCAAGGCCATTTCATTGGAGCTGCCTATGCCGTGCCTCAGCCCGAGCCCAAGAACCTCCCGTTCCGGCTCGCTCGCTCCGGGCCTCAGGGCGTGCCTGCCAAACCGCATGGAGCAGCTCCTCCTGAGGCGGAGAGGGCAGCGCAAGGCTTCAGCAACCATCCGGGGCAAATGCCATATGCAACAACTGAGCCGCAACGCCTAGTCACCCATATCAAGAACCACTAGGATGCAATAGCCCATCCTCCTCCAGCATGCTGTCCAGGTTGTCATCGGCTCCAACGAAGGCATCCCAGAACCTACGAGCTCCCCGCACTAAAGAATGACATACCCGCTCGCACCCAAGCGGCGAAGGGCCCTTGGGAAACCTCTGCCTTGCCGTGAGAAGCTGATGCTGCTCCGCCCGCAACAAAGCCACTGGCGGCCCTGCCTGAGGTACTCCTCTTCACCGTAGCCAACCTGGGAAAGGCTAACCTCTAGTGCCTTCCTTCCCCACTGTCTCACAGCCTTTAAACAGTAGACAGTAGCCTGTCACAGGTTGCTCGACTCTCATTACCTTTGCTCTGACTTTGTTGGCATGCGCACCTCATGTTGTCTGCACCGTGCTGAAGCCGACATGATACGAATCCATGGCAGGAGACCCTGGCGTTCATACGTCTTACTCCCAAACCTGCGCCAATCCTTGCGAGAAAAAAACAACAAAACACTGGTCGAAGCAGAATTTTCTCGCCCAGCCACTCGCTGCGCCATGTCCATATTGCTCACATGCTGCATCTTCCGCATGCGGTCTGCCACGAACTTGGCGAACTCCAGGTATTCCTCCAAATCCAATTCCCCAGAGCCTCAGGAGCCGAACAGGAACCGCCCCAGTGTGCCAGTAGGTCGGGTCAAGGTTGAAAAACAAAATGGCACGTGCAGCTTCCCTGGCCCTCCAGAAAGTGAATCAACCGTACTCGAATGCAAACAAAATCAGGGACGGCTATTGGATTGGGGACTGAATCTGCCCTGGCACTTGCCGTTGCATTTATAGGAACGGGTCGAGATTAATGCAGTTGTCTTTCTCTTTTTTTCATAATTTGCTTGGTGTTCACTTCCGGTGCTATAATGCTGCAGTTGTTGCAGCATTTTCAAGCAACATGCGCTCTTTGTGCAGGATTTGGGTTTGGTTTGGGGTAGGTTTGGAGTTGGTTTACGGATGGTTTATTGTTGGTTTAGAGTGGGTTTGCTGGGGCTCGTTGGAGCGGGTTTAACATGCTGTAGAGTTTCTTTGGAGTTGGCCCAGGTTTGGTTTAAGGCTTGTTCTAGTTTTAGTGGTGCTTGGAATTAAAAAGTTGGTTTGGGTGGGTTTAGGGTCCCAAACGTAAGTTCGCGGTGGGCTTTGGATTCTCTGGGGTTCGTTCAGGGTTTTGGTTTTGCCTTCTGATGTCATCGCAAAGCTGAACAACTGCCTATAAAGAAGCGGGGGGTTGGAGGGGAGGGCGCAGCCCTCCCCCGAATCGGGGAGAATGGCAGTGCAACGCTTGATACCTCGTCAACCTTTTGCACCTGCCACACTGTGAGTGGCGGGGGAGCCGGTGACATGCAAGTCCCGACAATGGTGATTTGGGGGGGGGGGGGGGGTTGGTTGTTGTCGTAGTTGGCAAATCCAACGCGAGGGCCATTGTGCCTCTTTGGCTGGCTTGTCGGTGTTGGTTGGTTTTTGCGAGCTGTGGCTGTGGCTTTCGGCATCCTCAGCATCACCAGTAGCACCCCCAGCATCACCTTGTTGGCGTTTTGCTTTTTGTAGTCGCGCACTTTCTCTATTAACTCTATTAGTGTCCTTGCTTGTTTTCTTCTAAAGGCAACCCCCGGACACAGCTGAGCAACCATCCTCATCGAATTCCTCCACCAGCTTTGGGATCATCTCCTGCCTGAATCACTGAAGAAATGCACCATGTTTGCTTGGCCAAGCACATATCACGAAATTCCAAGGATGGCCCCAAGCCCCTGCTTATAACCCATGACGCCCACGCTTGCGCTTCGCCACGCCGGCGAAGCATCCACAAGGCAGACATCTCAAGCTCAATGGCTGGACATCTCACTTCGTCTGCGACTCTTACAATTCTACCCAGGTTAGCAAGCATTGGGAACTGGCTTGGGCAAGGATTTTGAGAAGGGTCAGGTTCGCAGGCATTCTCCTAGAAACCAACTTGTTCAAGCGGAACTCAGGCTCTGAACAAATTCTTAAGGCAAGCTGCGATTGCTTGCCGGAAGCCTTGATGCCGCAGTTGTCCAAACATTCAATACACTCCTTCGCAAGTCTGTCTGCTTCAAGCGCACAAATGAATCTGACGCTAGTTCAAGGACGTGAGACATCTCCTCTACACTCAGCCCGTTGGTATCATCAGTGTCTGCTGCTGCGAAAACATCCGCAATGAGATCATTCTCGATCTCCCTAATCTGCGTCATAATCCGCAGCACCTGGGCAACAAGCACAGCCATCGACAAACTCAGGATGTGGGCCTATCAAATCAGTCTATATATATATACTATATATATACACATTATTTCAGTCGGAGGTAGACAGCCCTTCAGCCAAAACTCTTCTTCTTGCCACACTGGCAATGTATGCGCTATGTTTTCAGAAACTTGTGCAGGTGGTATCGGGCCTCTCTTGGACACGGCGGAATGCGTTCGGTCATGTCACCCCATGCTTGCACATCTCCAAATTTGGTGAGCGTTGAACGCTGCCCGTCATGAATCATAATATTGGGGAAACGTTATCTGACCACAGTACGGCCTATCAACCTTACACAGAACTGCATGGAATGACTCTTTTCTGAAACTGAAACGTTTGCAGGGAATTGAACCTTCCTGCAACGATGTCTAGTTTGCCTACGCGAGAAAAACCAAAGGCCCCCCATCCCTCAGCAAGGGTTCCCAGAACCTTCTTGGAAGGGTGGTTCTTAGAAGGGGTCAGGAGATGGGGGTCCTACTGCTTGTCCTAGCATGGCGAGCCTGGCATGCTTCCCCGTAAGCCTGTCCCAAGACCACAAAAGGATTTGTGCATTAAGCCCTTAAGTAAGGGCCTTATTAAGGGCTTATTTGGGCTCCCTTCCCCTCCCCTGCCTCCCATGATCACAAGTCGACTTAGGGACTCTGCTCTGGCAGCGGCCAATGCAAGCCTGGGCGCTTGCCTGAAGTCGAAATGGGCACGCTCAACCGCAATGGGGTCGTTCAAGTCAAGACCTCTGCTCAATCGCAAGAGTCGCGAACATGTCTTCTATGCCAACCGGTCAGCATGCCATGCAAAGCCCTTCGAGTTCAAGCATAACGTCAGCCCAAAGCTCATCACAATCAATGAGATAATAAAGTGGGAAAAGCTTCACACAGCAAAGGTCCAAGCAAAAACGCGACTGTGTAACCCCTTGCGCCCTACACACTCCAGGCTAACAGTTACCAAGTCCTTGCCGAGAAGCCTTCCTCGACGAGCTGCGGAGCAACCTGAAGCGGATGGCGGCAATTGTCGGGCGATCCGCCTGAGAAGTCTTTTCATGTTTCTACACAATACCATGCCCTCCATGGCTCGCCCGTCATCAGTTCTACACGGCCATTCCGGCGCAAATGTCCCAAGGACTTAGACCAGCTTTTGCAACAGTTGCCGCCCTCACCAGGTGTCCAAGCTCTCCCTGCAAAGGCCAAACATATGTAATTTGATGTCAAACCAAGAACGGCCACGTCCTACAAACTGCAAACATCCGTCATGGCTTTGCTGAACAAATAATGATGGTTCGAGAGCTTGCTTGCACATACACGCAGGCATTCCTCCAGCGGAGAATGGCAAACTGACGCGAGCAGTCCAGGAATGTGTCCGTGCAAAGGCCAGCACAGAAAGATGAAACAATGAGAGCCGGAAAAGGAAGGCGATACAACCTCAGACTCAAAGCATCGCATAGTTTTCTCCTGAAATGGACAATCGTCAAGAGTGAAGCTTTATCAGCCTCTCCTGTTGATTAACGTGGTACCCAACTCCCGTCAAATCAAAGCGAAACAGTATCACGGTAGCCCTCACAGACCTGAAAATTATACACCACCATACGCCCCACAACAGGACGGTAGCCCCGTGTCGCCAACACCTGCCCCCTTGTTAAACTCCATGCCCTCCTGCGGGAATCCCTGCGTCACCAACACTTGATTGACCCTGCATCACAGGTGAGTTGGGGCAAAGGTCACGACTTGACGCCAAAGTGGAATTGTCGTAAAATCTTTCGCGAGGGGGGGTGCAAATAGTTTTTGCTTGGCTCGGCCCGTTTGGCCTGGAGGCATCTACTCATTTGAGGATCCAACTAGAATTCGCCGAAGTGAACCCCCAAATCTCTGCAAGGGATGTGTTCAGCGAGACCCTTGAAAGGGGATGTTTGAGTGTTCGGGTTGGTCTGGGTACGTTCCGGTGGATCTTTTGCTTGGCGCGACCCGACCTCCTCCGCCGCGATGCTCCGCAGCTTCTCCCGGAACCCGGAGCCGCGGTGCTGCACCAGGCCGCAGTCCTAAGGAAATGAAAAGCAGCAACAGATGGAAACCAAAAGATAAAGGGTCGTGCGACCCACCAAAAACTTTGAGGATTCAAACAACGCAAAAAGACAATTCTTAAGCTCTATGAACCTAGCCTGACCTCGGCATTTTTTCCATTTGTTTGGGCAAGTGTGCAAAACCTCAACTTTCCGAACAACAAAAACATATCAGACGGTAGCTGAGACAACATGGATGGATGCCCAGAGTCTGAACGCCTCAAAAACGGCTTGGATGCGGGTTCTGGATCACACCCCTGTAGGATATAAGAGTACAAAAAAGAGTACTAAAAAAGAACTTAACTACAGTGGGAAGATCAGGGGAAATCCACAAAACACGCATCCAAACCGTTTCCAGAGAAATACTGTTTTATGCTTTATAAAACTTGAGGTTAAAAGTATGTTCAAAAAAAGAACCCCTGACCCTGACTCAGCCAACATGGATACATAGGGTCTGAAGTTTTGCTTTGTTTGAACAACTCAAAACTTTCTTGCATTTGATGGGGTGGTGTGTTCCAAAACAAAACCAGGCCCTGACTCAGCCAACACGGAGACATCGGGTCTTATTATTATTTTCGGAAAAGATATGTACTAGACATACGGCACAAACACACGCTAGACATACGCGGGCATCAGGCTAAACATATGCACCCATATGCTCAATGTATGCTAAACTTAGCAGACAAAATATGCTAGACACATGCTAGAATGTTGGCAGCAAAGAGCTGAACATATACTTCATAGAAACAAGCTGATTCTAGTAGACATGGACATACAGCTTAACAAGATATGAGACATGCTAAACATATGCCAGGGCTGTACATGTAGCCCTTTCTCCCCTCCTCACACCAAAGTGGGACACATGCTTGTTCGGGGATGCGCGTCAAGCATAGCCAGGGCTCCAAAAAGGTTGGCCCGTTTCGGGTCCTGGGGAAATTTGTCTCCACTGGGGCTCTTTGGCCTGTTAAACCGTGAGCCCTTGTCTCTAGGGGCCTCTGGCGAGGCTAAGCCGGGATGCTTGCCGGTTGCAACAGGTCCGCATGTGCAGTACGATGTGTATGTCGAGCTCTAGCTGCTAGCTTGCATTCTCTGTCCAAGACCTGGTTTTCCTTCCTGTAATCTATACCCAGCATAGGTTTGACATTTCTTCAACGTATGTTAGAGCATATGAGTCAGCTTCAGAATTCCCATCGATTACTTTATGTGGGGGTGTCATTCACGAACGCCGAGAGCGTGTGATTATTCAGTGACTGCTTTGTGGCTCAGCACCTTGCCTTCAGAAAGCTAGATACTCAAAGGAGCAGGCGCGCCGCTCCAAGCGCTACCCGACTTCCTCCAAACCTGTGTTATTGTCGTAGGAAATGTTCGAACTGCCAAGCTTCCAGCGCCAGATGCAGCAAGGACGGAAAGGGCAGCAGGTCGTGCTTTGCGCGGCGGAGAAACACATCCTGCAAGTCTACCAAGGCAAAACCCCAAAGGCGCTCCTCAGCTGCGTGCGTGTGGGCATGGGGAAGCCATTGGCCCAACTGCCAAGCAAAAACAAAGCCTGCCAGTTGCTTGCCTGGTTTCTGTGTGCTCATCCAGATCCATTGTCTCCGCAATCTCCTGGCGCCTCTGAAAGCTGCAGTCCCAGAAAGCGAGCAGCCGGCAACCAGCCAACGTACGTGCTTGGCCAACATCAACATCTAACCCCCCGGAATTCCAACCAGCATAGCCTGCATGACTAGGGCGATTTAAACACGCACCCACCAAAAAAGACCGCCAGCCCGCCTCTGGACGAAGTCGCTCTCGGCGCGTTCCTCGAGTAACGGCGCCAGGATGTGGAACTGGGGCAGCGACAGGATGTCCTTCTCCAAAAAAGCTGTGAATGAAGACTGCTGCAAAAGTTCCGCAGTCTCTGGGATCACCTCCGTGACGGTTTGGATCATTTGGTTCAGCCTGGGGAAGTACCCCGACCAGCCTAAGGCGTGCGGAGTGCTTGGAAACCTGGCTCCTCGCCCGCATGCCTAGTACTGGCAAGGCTTATAGCCCCTGCCCGTTGTGTCAGCCAGTTGGTGGGCGAGGCGGTGCCGGGTGCGTGGACCAGAGCTCTTGCGCGAGTGACTATGCGAGGGACCACCCATCAAGACTGCAATGTGAAGATTTAGGAATTGCCTCAGGTCAGCCCCTTGACAAACGAAAAGCAAGCGTGAGCTCCTGAAGCTCAACATCACTGTCTGGGGACCAGCTAAAGCCACCAGGCTTCGATCGAATCGGATTCAAGCTTGAGATCACGGGGGTTTGGCTTGGAGCCACTTAGGGTTTTGGGTCACCGCGGTTTTGGATCTATCTGCTTGCAAGCTGCCTCTCCGTTTACTTGCGAGCCTTTTTTGCCCGTTTCAGCAGTGCCGGCTAACAAATATCGTAGGTGGTGGCAGAAAGTGGCAGTATGGGCCTGCACCTGGTCACCCAGAAAAGGTGTGTCGCCTTTCAATCTGGAATGGCTTGCCACCTGCTCCATCCCAATCCGCACAAACGGCTGGGAGCCTTGGCCTGAAGGTCAGTTCGGCCGGGCGGCGCAGAATCTGAAGCAGCTCAATCATGGACAGCGTCCCGCTCCTGGGCTCCCGAATCTCAACTGTGTAGCTCAACTCAGGGACCCAATTGACCACCCAGGGCGCTGAGCCAACTCAGTGCAAATGAAACAGGGCGATGCTGTTCACTCCAAGTCTCTTGTCCACATCCGCTGCATGGAATCTCTTGGAGAGATCGGCGGAGCGAATCTCGGCGAAGCCAAGGCGGATGTTGGGAATAATTTCCTGGCGATGGGCTGTCCACTGCCCACTCCGTCTGCCAATGACGGGCAACGGGCTGTGCACTAAGAGAACCAGTTAAGACGCGAGACTCAGAGACCAGCCGAGCCATGCCGAGCCCAAATTCCACTTGAGACATGTGCATCCATGCCGCCCAGGCAGCACACGCAGGCTGACATGCAAACATCATCTACTTCTAAATCATCAGCGGTTCTCGATGAAACATTCTCAAATACCACGGGCTGCTTGACGGGCACGGCTTCTGTCATTAGATCCCGAATGCCTGGAAGAGCAGCTCGAACTTCACATCCAACGTGTCCAGATTTCGCAGCAGGTTGTTCCTTGGGATGTACTTTCTCACCCTCTGTCACCGGACCCCATACCGACCAAACAGCGATCCTCAACATCAAGCGGTCCTGGCACCAAGAACAAAACGGCAAATGCAAAGCATCCCCAACAGCCTTGGCTTTGCACCATCAATGGTCCGACATGCAGGGTGAAATGCTAATTGCAGGTTCCGATCATGAAACAATGAGTCAAGGGTAACGATATTAGCTCACATTTCGAAAGCCAGGTCAGCCTTTGCATATCTTAATGAATCAGTTAACCAAAAGGGGGGCCCACAAAGAACAACCTGGGCATCGTTCAAGATGCACCGCCAGTTTGTATTCCAATTACCCAGTGCACCTCGCGGCCACCATGACCCGTTGCGCCAACCCATTGTCCTGCTTTCCCACCGGTTTGGTTTTCCAATCTCTTTGTCTCAGGATGGACCAAGGCTCATTAGTTCGCGCTCGGCCTTGTTCCGGGGTTTAAAGCCCACATTCTCCAGAAACTGTCTGAGATCACTCTGATCAATAGCATCCGTATCAGTGTAGCGCCGTAGCACGTCACGGTAGGTCTTCTCCTGGCTGGCAGGATTGGGTCCAGGTTTGCAGGCGGATGACAGAAAAGCTGACGGCTAAGGGGCTTTTGTTGCAGTCTGGGCGCGTCACTGGGGCTCACCAGGGACAAGTAGGCCTTGCTGACCGTGGGCATGCCTTCCATCGTCCTTGCATCACTGACCAGCACCAAAACACAGTTCCAACAAGCCGACGCAAGGCGCAAGGACAAGCATTCTGTCCCCTGCAACTCTTGGCCACATGAGTCCATGACCGCAAGAAAGGGCTTGGCCGTCCCAAGCCACAGCCTCCCTCAGAGCTTGAGGTGCCAGCGAGCCCTGTTGCATGCAGGAAAGCATTGGAGTTTCAGTCGAGCAGATTTCAGTTCAGGAAAGCTCTAAAGCGCTCCCCCAAATTGGCAGCATCCGCCTGGGATTGCAAGCACGAAAGCACTTTCCCCTCCCACAAGTCTGGCCAAACGCGGGCACGTTTTACGACCCAACATGATCATACAAACAAGTAGTTCTCAACAAGGAAACCTGGGGACAGTCATTGTTGAAACCTCCATTCTTTCGAGGATTGGTGCTTTCTCCGGTTTGTTCCGTGTCGTCCTGTGCTGAAAACTCGCATGCTCTTCAGCCATTGCAGCAATGTGCGAGTTCCAGGAAATGAGTGACTTCTAGGCCGCTCCTCCCGGCTGTATGACGTGTAGCAGTGGCACCTGCTTGCAATGTTGCATGTTGCGTTCCTCTTTGTTTTATCAAACTTATGTTGTTGTTGTTGTTGTTGTTGTTGTTGTTGTTGTTGTTGTTGTTGTTGTTGTTGTTGTTGTTGTTGTTGTTGTTGTTGTTGTTGTTGTTGTTGTTGTTGTTGTTGTTGTTGTTGTTGTTGTTGTTGTTGTTGTTGTTGTTTGTTCTTGTTCTTGTTGTTGTTGTTGTTGTTCTTGTTCTTGTTCTTGTTCTTGTTCTTGTTCTTGTTCTTGTTCTTGTTCTTGTTCTTGTTCTTGTTCTTGTTCTTGTTCTTGTTCTTGTTCTTGTTCTTGTTCTTGTTCTTGTTCTTGTTCTTGTTCTTGTTCTTGTTCTTGTTCTTGTTCTTGTTCTTGTTCTTGTTCTTGTTCTTGTTCTTGTTCTTGTTCTTGTTCTTGTTCTTGTTCTTGTTCTTGTTCTTGTCTTGTTCTTGTTCTTGTTCTTGTTCTTGTTCTTGTTCTTGTTCTTGTTCTTGTTCTTGTTCTTGTTCTTGTTGTTGTTGTTGTTGTTGTTGTTGTTGTTGTTGTTGTTGTTGTTGTTGTTGTTGTTGTGTTGCTGTTGTGTTGCTGTTGCTGTTGCTGTTGTGTTGCTGTTGCTGTTGCTGTTGCTGTTGCTGTTGCTGTTGCTGTTGCTGTTGCTGTTGCTGTTGCTGTTGCTGTTGCTGTTGCTGTTGCTGTTGCTGTTGCTGTTGCTGTTGCTGTTGCTGTTGGTGTTGCTGTTGCTTGTTGGTGTTGTTGTTGTTGTTGTTGTTGTTGTTGTTGTTGTTGTTGTTGTTGTTGTTGTTGTTGTTGTTGTTGTTGTTGTTGTTGTTGTTGTTGTTGTTGTTGTTGTTGTTGTTGTTGTTGTTGTTGTTGTTGTTGTTGTGGTTGTTTGCTGCTGCTGCTGCTGTTGCTTGCTGCTGCTGCTGCTTGCTGCTGTGCTGCTGCTGCTGCTGGCTGCTGCTGCTGCTGCTGCTGCTGCTGCTGCTGCTGCTGCTGCTGCTGCTGCTGCTGCTGCTGCTGCTGCTGCTGGTGTTGTTGTTGTTGTTGTTGTTGTTGTTGTTGTTGTTGTTGTTGTTGTTGTTGTTGTTGTTGTTGTTGTTGTTGTTGTTGTTGTTGTTGTTGCTGTTTACATGTATATTAAAATATATATGTACATATATTGTGTAGATGTGTTTTCATTCTAAAAAAGATAGAACAATTCACTACCGTACAAAGCACCAACTATATAACATGAGACCCAAAAACAATCACCTGTGCCTCCGTTTTGGGTTCCACGTGGATTTGTGAGGGCGTACTTTTTTGGGGAAGGGGCAGAATTTCTTACAAGAGGTGCTCGAATCTTGTCAAAGCGGCATTGCGCGCTGCAGCGTAGGACGGCTCTCCATCGGATCTTCGCCTTCGACTACTGCGGTCATCTTATCCTGGCAAATCAGTGGCCGCCCATCACGAAACTCGAAATCGCCAAGCAGGAAACTGGGATACCTCGAATCCGGCCGAATCATTGGGGTCGAACATGAGCGAATGGAAGCTGGTCATTCCAGCAGAATCATAGCCCCGTGTGGAACGACTGGATGTGAGGGAGGCCGGGGTCTGTTAGCAGCCACCGCAGCTCAATCCGGACATTGCAAATCTCTGCTTGGTGATAGCAATGCCAACGTGAATTTGCCGGCTCCCCGCATTCCCTCGATGCAACGCGCTACGGCTGCGCGCCTTGTATTTGCGCTTCAGTTCTCGGAGCTTCTTGTTAATCTCACGCCTCCTTCTTCGCGTTGCAGCTGGCGCTTCGTCGTCCAAAACAGCTTTGTTTTCTTTGACTTTCCTTGGCACTCCACATTTAGGAGAGGCATTTGAGGCATTGGCTAACTGCGAGTGAGACGGAGTGAATTTGCTGATTAGCGGCATCTTTATCTCTTCTTGGAGGTCGCTGAAGTCCATGAGTCTCTCAATGGTGTCCGGCTCGAGAGACGCCAAGGACTTCATGGACTTTTTGGATTGAAGAACTCGTGGTGGGCCTCGATCCCACTTGACTAAAGCTTTGTCACATTCAAGATGTATCAAGATGTCACCAATCTGCAACTACAAAGTCGATAGTTGGACATTGCTTGCCAACTTGGCTGGGCCACGGGCGTGGTGGCACGTGATAGTGTTTTTCTTTGAATCTCCCAACAAAACGGCAACGTGTTTTCTCCTGCACCCCAACGCTTCCCGGCTAGTAAAAAGATGGGGCACACATGTGCAGTCATCGCATTGGCCGTCTCATGCCCGAAGCTTGCAACAGAGTGAGCTTGTGTGTGTGTGTGTTTGCGTGCGTCTCTCTGTGCGTGGGTGGGTATGTGTGTGTGTGTTGTCCCTCTGTTTGCGCGCGTCGCTCTCACTCTCACTTTCACTCTCTCTCTCTCTCTCTCTCTCTCTCTCTCACTCTCTCTCTCTCTCTCACTCTCTCTCTCTCTCTCTCTGTCTCTTTGCGTGGGTGACTGTTGCATGTGCGCGTGTGCGCATGTGTTTGCGTCAGTGTTTGTGTCTTTGTGTGCGTGAGCGTATCAGTTGGTGTGTACGTCTATGCTGGTTTCAGCGTTTCGTGCGCGCGTGCACGCAAGCGTTCGCAGTTGCGTGCATGCGTTGCGTGCGCACGCGTGGTGTGCGTGGGCATGCGGGCAAGCGAGGTTGGCAACAAATGCATGGGATTGTGTGGGTGTGCATTCATGCATGCTTGTGCGTGCATGGGTCATTGTGTTTGTGCTTATGCGTGTATGTGTGTGTCGCTGGGTGTGTTGGTGTGCGCGCGCGCGTCTGTGTGCTTGGGTGCTACAGAGCTGTGTACTTGTTTGGTTGCGCGCTCTTTTGCACGTAATCGTATGCCTGCTTGGTGCTCTCCTTGTTGTTGTGCTGTGTGTCTTTCCGGGTTCGCTTGCGCATGTACGATTCGCATGTGCTTGTGTGTGTGTGTTGCGTTTGTGTGCGCATGAGTGCGAATGCCCAGGCAGCCCATGGCGCAGTATGGCCATACGGTCCTGCTCGGGGGAGCGGGTGGGGGGGAGGGGGGCTGCCTTACAACTGGAGCCCTCATGAAAACCCACAAAAAGAGCTTCAGCACTCTTGTCCGTGCCCGCCCGGGACAACTGGAGCTGAGAGGCCCTTGTCCTTGGCAAAGCACAGTCAAGGTGGCTACGGCAGGCTATGGCTCATGTTGAAGATGTGCGCCTACCTGAACAAGAGTCGCCTGTCACCTCAAATTGAAGATACTCGAACCGTAGGAATGAAGGACTTCCAAAGACTGGCTTTGGTTCTGCCCTCAAAGGGCAAACCCTGCCGACACGCGGCTAGCATTCACTGAGACCCTTGGGGCGCCGTTGATACTCACCCCGCCATGCAGGCCATGAGCTGGCACCAGTGGCTATGCACTAGTAAAAGCATGTCAAGGGAACGTGCGGCTTCAACCCCCAGAATGTGGGCGCCCTCGCCCCCACGTGTGCATTTCCTTTCTACACGGGCCTGTGCCTGCCAAATTTGTGTTTCTGCATCTTTGTGTGTTTCACATGTTGCAGTTTTACCGGCCTGGCTCCAAAACTACAAGCGAAGTCACACAGCCGAGCCCTTCCGATTGTCTGGGCTCGCCAGGTCAACGCCGCTGGGACTCACTCTCGGCAAACACCATGTGAACAACCCCGTCTCTGCCACGTTTTGGCGCCAAGGCTCGCTCTGCTCGCTCTGCACTGGTGCCTCTTCATTGGGCGTGGGCAAAGGCTCTGCCGCTGGCCCTTCCTGGCGATTACGGGGCCTGCAGATCTGGCGGCTAGCGTCAAGAGGCCACCGGCGCTATCGGAAAGCATGCGCATGTCATCACATGCTTCTGCAACACACTACGTTCTAGTAACCTTGCAATTTATAAAGGCCGCACATGCGCGCACACACGCACACACCCTGCTTAGAGGACACGGCTTTAAATGTCTGGCTGATAAAAAGGGCAGCGAACAATGTTGATGATCATTGGCAACACCTGGCATGATCGCTGATAATGTTTTCCACCCACCACCATAACAAACACCATTCAGACCTGCTGCGAGGTGCAACGATGACGTACTCGCAACTGTCACATCCAAGGGATGTTTGGTTGCCTTACCCTTGCAACACGGGGTCCTCGTCGTGCACTTCTGGTTCCTTCGCTTGGTCCATGAGCGGGCAGAAGGTCACGTTCAGGATTCCAGTGTCGCAAGAGATCCCTTTGAGAATCAATGCCCTCGGCGCAGCTCCCCATGGTGCGACACCCCTCTATCAGCAGTCGCCTGAACACCTGCAGAAAAAAGCAACTTGCCCGCAAAGGCTTCGGTCATGCACGTCTTGCTTGCTCGTGCCTCGCGCATCTCACACCACTCCTCCTCCCAACCCTCCATACGAGACGCTGGTTCCCGTGGCCTTTGGTCGTGATGCTACTTGGCTTTTCGCGTGCACCTGGCACGGACCGTCGGCCAGCTGGCAGTGGTGAGCGCTGCACTGACTCCAAGCAGCGCTAACGTGAGAAACAAGAGCACAACTCGTCCTGGCGTTTTCAATGCTCAGCATTCATGTTGTCGCAGGCATGCAACGTGGACCTTCCAGAGCCAAATTACCAACTAACGTGTTTGCCTGCCCCTTGCTTGTGGCAATGGGCGACATGCGGATGCAAACGCATGCGTGGCGTATTGCATGCCTTTAGGGATTTCCCAAAGGGACGACTCGCTAGACGAGTGCTGCAGGGATCCGCCAAGTGAAGTTGGCGACTTTTGCCAGTTCAAGAAAACCGTCGGCAACGCCCAGAAATGCAGGCTCACAAGCCTGCATAATCAGGTCTGTGCACGATGATGGAGGCTCTGCATCTCGTGCGGAAAAGCGTCTCTCTTTCGATCCTCAGCACAGCTCTGGCTGGATCAGCATCTGGGGGCTCTATCAAACCGCACCTAAGCAGCCTTTGGCAGTGCCAATCTACTAGCCTCCGTTACGAGCCCTCAACCAAAAGACCTCAAACACCGCAACAAAACACAACTTCATCAGGCGGCTTCTCCGCCCACTCGGGGTGCACCTGATGTGTGCCACAAATTGTAACGCCTGTTGCCCAGCCGGGCCAGGAGCAGTACAGTTTCAAGGCAGCTCTTGGCAGTGCTACGCGTGGCTCCTTCGGCTGTCAGGCCGTTGAAGACGACAGAAAATGCGAACGCTGCGCAGGGCTCACGGTGCGGCTTAGCCCACCCCCAGTCAAGGCTCTGCTGCTGGCGCCACTGAACCGCCTTTTTCCGGCTGGTCTGCGTGGCTTGGATCCGGCTGTCCAGACGGTGCTTGGCAAACTCTACGAGCTCCTCGTTACGGCCTCAGGCAAAGGCAACCAGCTATGATATCATGGCAACTTCGCCCAACGAGCAGCGGCGCATGTTTGATTGTTGCACCCCTGTCGTGAATCTCTCAGGCTGCAAAGCTTATGGGGGCAGCCTGCCTAGCGAATCGAAATAGGGATATCATGCGAAGGTTCGAGCTTTCAGTTTGGGGTCTGCCAAATGAAGCCCAATCAGGGCTGCAATACTGCTTGGGGCCGGGTTGGGCCACCTATTGTTTACACAACCTCCTGTTAGTTTCCTGCTTAATCAAGCGTTCACAGGTGCGGGAAAGAAAACCAAGCCTACCCCACCAGCTATGCAAAGCACAACAAGGTGTCGCACATGTGGAGCAAGTTGCGCGGTGCAGCTGCTTAGCTAAACAGCAAAACACCGCAGTCACCCGTCACATCTGCTACTTGTACCTGGAGCAAGTGAACAGCCGTTGGACTCAAGACAACGCAGGACACATGCCACGAGCAAGTACTCAATCCGCCAAGTCTGGTCCTGGCCTACAAGCTCTGCTGCGATGTCGTCTCCACGCACCACCACGCGGTCTGCACCCAGCACCTCCGTAATGAAAGCCGCCTGCGCAGGGGGTGATACACATGGGTGGCAATTGAAGGGAATGAGATCCAGTAGGTCTTGAAGCCTGGCTGATGGGCAAACTCATGCAGCTGGGCACGGGTGCATCATCTTTTCCAAACCCAACTTGAGTCTAAGCCTGCGAGGGAGGAGCTAGCAGCCAGCCTCACCTCAGCAAGGGCGAGCCTCCGCTGCAGTGCTGCCGGCCCGCTGCCGCGGCTTAGGCACCTGGAATCAGTGGACGCTGTGAATGCACCCCTCACCTTTTTGGCCTTTGCAGTCGGGTCTCATGTTTTGGACCTGGGGTTGACTAAACGCGATCCGCTCCTTTGATTGCCTCTCGGCATCCCCTGCGTTCAAAAGACGTGTCATATTTTTCTATACACATATGTGATCATATATGTCCGTGTCTGGCACCATAGGTGATTCCCCGACCTTTTCAATCGGACACCTGTCAATCACTTTTCGTTGCATGCTGGCGCCTCGCCAGCCTTCATGAGCCGCCGGCTGGCCAGGCGAGGGCGGGCCGTCTTGGCTTGCCACTGGCTGGCCTTCCTGCGCAACATAAGCCAAGGATAAAAACAAATGCGGTGGCTCAAAAAGACGTACCAAAATGGCACCTTGGTACACAGAACCATGGACTAACACCTGTGTAAGTAACCCCAGCTCTTTGACTTTGAGCCACACTCGCAAAGAAATAGGGGCACACTTTCTCGGGCACGCGAATGTGCAAACACTCACAGCTATCCCGGTATCCCGCACCTTGGCTCCGAAGGGATCACCGGCAGCTGCCTTGGATGGGGAGCACACAGCCTGTCCCTAAGGCCGTTGCATGATACACAAAAGAAAGCTTACATTTACCAAGCAAATGCCCTTGCACCGCGTGTTGAAGCGTTAGAGAGTCAACAACGACAACTTCCGCCTTCAAGGTGAAGCACGGAGGAAAATAAGCAAAGTCGAGCAGAGTCAGTCGTTGCTGTCCTAAACTGCTTGATCTGCGCAGGAAAACCGCTCATACACGTTTGAACTAAGAGTTTCATGACCAAGGCAGGCAAAGCTTCGCGTTTTCCTCTGCCTGTACGGGGCGTGGCCACTTCAGCCATGCAGAAGCCTGTCATTGGGGTCTGCCAAGCCCATATCCACATGCCAAACGCCGAAGGAATAAGAAAAAGACGCGACGAGCCATGCCGAGCTAACTCCGCGACCGCCCGACGGAGCCGGAACAGAAACAGCCCTCTAATCGGAAAGTCCCAAGCAACCAACGAAAGTCACCAAGTCGCAAGTCACTAAATCACCAATTGATTTCACCGCCTGTGTCACTAACGAACGCCCAACGGTCAAGTTGACCTTACCAAGCGGCTCACTGCGCTCGGGTCGCGCCACGCGCGGAGGAGCTCCAACGCCTCGAAACTTGAAGTCCTCGGCTCCCGAGCGAGCTATGGGGACGTAGCCTCCAACTCGCGTGGAACCTGACGTTCGGGACCCGGTCCCTTTGAAAGGAAACCGGTCCAAACTAGGAGCCCTCTGTCAGTCTGTCAGGTTCCTTGTCAATTGGCTCCTTCAACAGAACTGCCTTTTCCGACTCAAATTAGCTGCGGCGGCGGCCGCTGCTACTGCTGCTGCGGCTAGAACACACAATAAACTTCACCAAGCTGGTGCTGAGCAAGCCAAGGCTATACTCAGCAATCAGAACGTGCGGCGTGCTGCAAAAACACATGTCCACTCATCCAATTGACCTCAACCAAGCTAACAGTCAGTCCAGCTTGACTCGGCTGGGCACAGCATTGGAAGCAGTTGCTTAACAAAAAATCCAAGTCAGACAGGCTTAATTTGCGTAGCTTGCGAATGTGTTGCTAGCGCTTCCGGACAGCCTATTCTTCATACACGACCTGTGCAAGTAGCATCGCAAGGATGGCAGGTTTGCATGCCTTCGTAGCTTGCACTATTGGCCCCCTACTTGATTAGCCCCGCCCGCATCAGCACAGCGGGCCTAGCATACCTGACAGCACATCAGGTTACACGACAAACAAGGCGCAACCCTTCAGAATACAAGCTCACGACATGACATCACAGAACATTGCCAAACAGCACCATGTAATCACATGGCGTCACCTGACATAACATCACGCAACATCATCAGCATCACATGACATCACAGAACATGACATCACATCACACAACAAACACAACATCACATAGCATCACATAACATCAATTGGGAATATATGACAGCAAGTCCTGAACAGCCTACCGAATGCATCAGGGAACGACAACTTGACTGCTTCCTCGGCCCATATTCCGCCAATGAAGCCTGCCTGGCTTCTCTCACCGCCAAGCTTCCGAGATGCACTCAGCAGTTTGCCGCACCGGTGCTAGGAGGCCTCGGCATATGCTGAGAGTTTGGAGCTTTGAGGATTCTTCTCGTTGACATCCTGCAACCCCACAAAAAGGTTCACGAAGCCATCTAATCAATTGGCCAAGGGGGAGGGCTGGCCATGAGAAGGTGCAATACCAAAATGGATTGTAAGCATTCGCACGTCCCCTGCATGCATCATTTAAACAGCGTGAGCCGTTGTTTCACGGAAAGGAGCGAATGAGTGCCAAAATACGTGCGAATAGGTTGCTTGACGCATTAGATCATCACACAGCACAACGCCTGGATCTTCGACTTCATGCTGCTGCCCAGAAACGATCAAACAGGCGATCATGTCGGTCCACCTTTCCTGGCGCAAATCTTTGATCCGACCTGCGCCTGCCTACCATACAGTGCTTTCATAAGCTAGGCTGCTTTTCTTCTCTTTAGCCCTTGGAACGTGTTGATTGCCTCTCTGGCAGATCTATTGTAAATGTCATGTAAATTAACCTGCCCTTTCTGTCTCGGCAATCTCTACGTATGCGCATGCATTGGTGTCTACGCAACTGCTCATGATTACATTTGCAGGGACGGACACGCTGCCGCCCGTGCGCTGCATGTAGTCGGAGGCTGTTGCCCCTCTCAAACTCACAAAGGGCATGCTGCAAACTGAGTAGAAGAGAAACGACCCATCGCCTGACAACAGAACTCCGTTCTCCCGTCACCTTGACGACGGATCAAATGAGGATGCTGGCCTTTCTTCAGCTCTGGGAGCACGAGCGCCTTGGGCGCATCGCTCTCCGAGCCTGGCACCAAGAGAATGGAGAGAAGCCCTCTCGGAGACGAAACTCCCAAGAAAACTCTGCCAGGTTGAATGATTTCTGGGCACAGCGAGGGTTTTGTCATCTGGAATCTCAATCTCGCGATGCAAAAACAAAGAAGCTGAAACAATATCTCAACAGCAATGTCTCTACAATATCTCCGCAATGGTATTCCCTATTAGCTTCCATAACATCCTTGAATCTTCGGGAATGTCAGGCCGACAGTTCAAGTCGTGTCTTGCATGTTCAGCACCTTTGCTGCACACAACAGTCCATCAGACAAAAGCAAAAAGGATGCCTCGTCAAAAACAAGGCGAACCTGTTGCCAGCCATTCCACCCAAAAAGTGCAGAAGAAAAATATGCTGGAGTCAAGGAGAATGCGCGCGGATTTACGATCGCCAAGCCTGAGTCCATAGCTCTTGTAGTGAGCTTGCCGTGACATCTACCGGTATGTGTGGTCGAGTCAAGGTTGGTAAATGGCTGAAGGTTGCTACGCCTGCACAACGCGGCACACTCCTAAGCATCGCCACTACCCACCTACAATCCATGTGGCACATCCTTGACACCAAAGCGAGCGCGTGAAACACATCGGTCACATCTAGGTAGATGCAAGCCCTAGAAACACGTGGAAAGGGTGCGGGTCATCCCGGGTCGCTTGGGTAGAAACTTGAGCCTTCGCGGCACTGGGCGAGCGCGCGTGCTCATTTCGACCCAATGGCCCTTCAAAAAGCAGCAGCCTGCGTCGCACCAGCCTCAGTGCGATTACGTGTTCCCCAACCAGCTACCTGCTGAACTTTCTGTTGACCAGAAAAAAGCATTCAAAATTCGATGACTCGGGGATGAGAGCAATGTTGCTCAGCGTGGCTTGCCTACACATGCAGTTCAATGCTGCGGTCCTCCCGGTCGGGGTTCTTGATTTTCATGGCATCAGTTGACGTGGCATGAACATGTGGCAGGAATCTCGCCGCCAGCGTACTTCCAGCGTCGCGTGCGTAGCTGGACCTCGGGCGCAGGAATGCTTGCCCATACCCGATATTGAGCAGGGCTTCATTGAGAACATAGGCAAACCAAGTTTAACTCCAAGCGCGCTCAGTTTACACCTGGGCTTCCAGCCTAGTGGATCTCCCAGCTACCAGCTGCAGTGTCGAGCTGCCGCCGCTGTCTAACATTCGAAGACATAGGCGAGCACTGCCAACACCTGGTGGCCAGTCTGAGACTGGCATGGTCAAGGAACATTCATGCATCCAATCTCATTGAAAATACCAAGCATCAAGCAGGTTGCTTGTGCAAGCCATGCAAGCAGGACTGACATTGCCCAACGCCTTGACATCATCTTGGTCAGGGGTCTCCGAGCAATCGCCATGGCAATCGTGGTATGGAGACTTGCACTCCGCAGCTGATGCGTTGGTTGATATGAAACAGGCATGCACGAATGTTCCTGCTTGTGTGCATAGGATGGCTGAAAATAGTTCAATGTCCATCGTGCTCTGGAAGCTGGCCGGCCCCCCATCTTGCAAGTTGATTCTGGCTAGAGGTCTCTACAAGCCAAGTCTGAGCCAAGATGAGCCCATCCGTCGCCCACAATGCAAGGAAGCTCCAGAAAGCTGAGCATGAAGCTTGCAGCATACATAATGAACCAATTGGATCCCAAGAAACAGGCCCTCCACGCTGAATCCAAAAGGGCAGTGGGGCCTCTGGCTACAGGGCCGGCGTGGGCACTTGCCCACAGAGTCATCAAGGTCGATGTTCCGCGATGGCTCTTCTAAGAAGGTGGCAAAGGCAGCTGCCTGGTCGCCCAAAGGCGGAAACGCAGTAAGCAAGACAGTTGTCGAATCTCACCCGGATTGAGCTGCAGGCGCAAGGGTCTTAGGTCTTCCCCACTTCTGACAAGACCTTCAATTCTCGCCAGGCAAAAATGGTACTCTTGCGTCAAAAGCGGTGCTATGAACTTGCTTTGGCGAACCCTTTCGCAATGCTTTCGCGACCGCGGAGCTTTCGCGGCGGACTTTTTGAAACACGCCCTTTGGACTGCATGAGCTCAAAAGCTGTAGGTTCCTTTGATGATGGCCATTGGCCGTTCTGCAAAGTGAGTTCCACACTCGGCAGTGCACCCCAAATGCAAGAATATGTAAAACAACATTCTCGCTCATCATCAATAAGCTTTCGCAAGCTTTTGCGGCCTGAGTTTTGGCTTTTGCGGGGGGTCTATCGGACACCCCCTTTCACCACTTTACATTGCCAGGGTTATGGCGCTGCGTGTAATTTGAGATAAACGCTGCTTTGTAAAGACGAGAGCTTCCCCTGAGCCCAATCTACGCCCCCGTAACATCAAGCATCGAGTTGGTGCATTGTCCTTGGAGCTCACCCCCAGGACCACCATCCCAAACAAAGTCTCTCAGCAGCACTCGATGCACCAGCAAAACTGCAGGACTGCTGAGCTCTGGGCAACTAAACACTTCGTCATGGAGAAAAGCCGGACAAGGGTGTTGCCCGACATTTTCGCCTTGCAGCAGCACTGCCTCCTTCATGCAAGGAATTCCTCATCTTGCCCGGTGACCTTGCCAAAAAAAACAAACAAGGCAACAGTTCTGCAATGACAAAATAACTAGCCAAGAGAATGAGCATGTCCTTGCAGTGCTGTTAGATTGGCGTGATAAACTTCTGATTTGGCAGCTGAGCGAACTTTGACGCGGCCTGTTTGCCTGAATCCCTGTCACGGAAACGTTGTTTGGCGATGGCCATGGCTTGTCTTCCGCAACATGTCCAAGCAACTGCACTTGTCCCCACCGCAGTCGCAAGCAACGTCACTGCCACAACGCCAACGCCTTCTGCTCCGCATCCTGAAATCCTGCGTCCTGGTAAAAGACCAGGCTGCCATTCTTCACCTTGGCATACTGCGGACAGCGCAGTGCCAAGCCTGATCTCCTTTGCGCTTGCGATTCGCAATCCCCCACGGGCAGTGCAAAGCAAGCCAGCGAGGATACAATTCAAGATCCGGGAAGTTGACTGCGCACCACGCGATACGAGCAACGTATCTCGCGCACGTGCGGTGATTTGGACTTCTGGCCTGTCGTGTTTAGATGCTCAAGCCAGCCCAAGAGCCTGAATGCTAAGGCAGGGACAATGCCACAGGCCACGCCTGCAAAATGCTTCATTCTGCAACGCCACTGCAGGTACCTCAGGCAACGCTGCCCTCCAGCAAGGAAAATTGGCCGAGACATCCAGCGGCTGCTGTATGCTGCGAAAGTCGGGCTTCGGTACGTCGCCAGCTCTGAAACACCCAAAGATGACAAATGATAGCAAGGGCAAAGTACTTTGCCAAAGTCTGCCAATGCCATGCCTGAGCCTTGGGCTGCCTCACCCGCTCCAAAGGCTCATTCTCCATGCCTGGGTAGCAAAACGTGGGATGAGGACTGGGTCAGCCCTCAAAGCCCTGTCCCACGATCCTGAAAGTGATCGGCCCTGCTGCATTTACATGCAGTTGCACATGTCGCTTGGCCAACACAAAGCAAGGCAAAGAAGTAAGCAGGCATTGCCAAAGAAACTTGGCTCCCTGCATCAATGCCGCGCAAACATCAAGCACTGCCCAACTTGAATCGTGGCTGAGCAAGCCAACAGAACACGTGGACATTGAGCTTGTCAAAATAGATGACCCTTATGGGGCGGCACGCGACCGCGGGCCCCCCAGCCCACCAGTTCTGCCGCACAGCCAGGCCAAGGAGGCAAAGGACCCGCCTGAGGCGCAATATGCGGGTACTGTGGACAGCCTTCTCGCGGCTAGCCTAGCCTCCATGGCAAACATGTCTCTCACATTTCCAGGAGCCTCTAAAAGCACTGAGACCAAGAACTGATCCTGATCCATTTCGAGTTCAAGTTTCTAGTCAAATGCTACGCTCGCGGATGCCAGTTTCTGCTCATCCACAAGTGCGCCCCTCTCAAAAGCACAACCGTGAGCAAAACAGTTGCAAAAGCAAACCAGCTGTTTACCTTACCATCGTGAACAGCTTGCAGGCCTGCCAGAAACTGACAACTACCAGACCCTGAAAGGACCTTGCGGCATATCCATCAGTCGCTCCGCAAATCTCCGAGCAAGCCATGTACATATTTATCGCACTGCTGCGCCAGCTGAACTTGCCAGAAGGTGCCCGTATCACGATTTGCTCGCTCATTGCTCATATCTTAGACCGTGTTCTAAGCCACTCAACCACCCCTATCCCCGAAGCCCCTCCTGAACGGGCTCCGCTGGAAGCTCCCGGGTCTTGGACCGGCCGCCAGGGGACCTGCACTGCCCAGTGTGACCGGATGGGAAAACCGGAACGGACGGTTGATCAATGAGCACGCAGCATCCATCGAGAAGTTGCTCCCATCCTTTGGCCATTTGGTCACCGCTGAGTCACCAATCAAAAACATGGAAAGGCGCAAAATCGCTTCTGGAGCTCATGCCATCGCATGTACAATTCACGCCTCTTTTGACAGCTAATGCCACAATGAAAAGTGCTTGGGGTGATGCTCACATTGAGTTGCGCCTGCTGACTATCACGAGTCTTGATAGCGGCCACATTCACTAAGGCCAGCTCGTTTGGAGTGTGGTCTTGAGCTTTTAGCAAAGGTCTGGAGTGCAGTGACACGATAGGAGTTTCTGGTTTTACATCCCAACTTCCAAACAGCTCAAGCTCCATCTCTGGCACCCGGCTGAATCTCAAGTCGACACTGATCCCACCAAATGACATCTTTCGAACTGATCCTCCCACACGCTTGCTGCCTCCAGGATGTCGACCTGAGGCCATGAATCTTCAAGGCTCCAAAACCCGCGGCTTTCTTCCAGGTAAGTTGCCATCCTTGGAATCAACGGGAGCCAAAGCAGAGCTTACAGCATGCAAAGCCTTCCGAACCGCTGGTGTCTGTCTTTGCTTGAAGGCTCAGCAGGGAGTTCATCCTGCTAGTCAGCAAAATGTTGCAACTCTTCCAAATGCCACAAGGGCCAAAAGAACCTGGCCGCCCTGGGCCCAAAGGAGCTTGGGGAAGTGACTTCACACCTTTGCAGCTTCTGCCCCTTCATCGAACGAACAAGTCGCGATCAAGGTGGCAATTGACTGCACTGCCAAACTCCGATCGCCTGCCCCTTACAATCAACTCCAACTTGCCACGTGCACATTTAGATTCGTTTAGCAGAGCTGCAAGTGCCCTACACTGCTATTTGTACACATTTGTCCCATTCCCGAGTCACCCGGCAGTACCCTTCTATCACTCGCCACGCATCGGCTGCCAGGTTCAAAATCCTTGTACTTCACCCAATGTCGCTTTACAATACAGTAACGGGTCGTGCAGTACGCGAGGTACCACTCTGGCAGCTTAAGCTCGAACATCACAACGGTTCAGTACAGGTGTAAAGCACAAAATTAGCGATGTTGCAGTACAAGCCTATACTTCTGGAAATATATTCTCAGTAACGCCAACGAGTGAGTTCAAGTATGGTGCTTGAAAAAATACAGTGGCAGCTGAAGCTTGGATGTTTACAACTTTTGTCTTTCATGGCGCTGCTTCTAACAACAGGACGTGATATAGTGTGTGTGTAGTGTAAATATTTGTATATATATATATATATACTAGAGCGGGCCTATTAACTGGGCAACACGAAGCGAAGTGCTACGGAAGGGCCGGTAAGTGGCCAAGGCGGCCTGTGCGCTACCTTTCGCGAAGGTACAGGGAAAGGTATTCAAAAATATATTCTTTATATATAACATGTAGATATACTCCCATGTTTACTCCTTCTGGGTGAATTTTCATTTCGGCCCATGTTGCAATAGCTACACCCTGCCAGCCCGGCTGGGCCTCCCAGCAGCTCATCGAGCAGCTTCCGCGCCTGCGAGGTCTTGCTGGCGCAGATCAGCACCTCGTGTGCCACTCGTAGCCGCTCCGCCGCCCCGACAAGGCCCCAAGACCTTGCTGGAACCACCCCCCTGCAAAAAAAGTGGATCACTTTGCGTGCAATGGAAAAGCACCAGCTGGTTCAACCAAAAAGAAACATGTCTGAAGATCCAGCCTAATAGACATCAAGAAGAGGCTGGCTTGTTCAAGGGCCGGAACTTGTTTGATCCGGTGCAGGCAAAGTAATCCCTTCTTCCTACTAATCAACCTACCCCGAATCATAAAACTCCCCCAAGCCGCGGCAATAAATCGGCAATACTAAATTTATTTTGGCCAATACTAAACCGATACTATACACATGCTTTCCACCAAGCTCTCAAAATATGCTTATTAGGGGCCCCCTCTCCAGAGTATGTTGAAACTGAACAACCCAACACAAGCAAAAAGTTTTATGAAACTGACCATGGGACACTCCCTTTCGAAGTTCTTGCTCAAAAGTTGCAATCTGAGCAGTTTTTGCTCCAAATCAAAGGAGACCCACTTTCCAATACAAGTCCAATACTAAACAGCAAACTATCAGTTGGATCTAGGCCCAAACCGGCGACCCCTAATAATAAAACTCCCTCCCTGGTCTTGTATTTGGGGGGGGGGTTATTAGGGAGAAGCGATTACAAACGTAGTCTTGAGCCGATCCTACCAGAAGCAAACGTACCTCTAACACAAGCACAGAGAGCGAGCGACGCCGGCCTTTCCAAGCAACGTTGGTTGTAACATATATCATACATCTCCCAACCCGAGCCAAACGCACTAGCGCCCCACCTTGCCCAATACTAGCAGTCATGCCCCGAAGCCGGCCCAAGACAAAAAATGGATGGCCGATAGTTCAAGTCACCTGATTCATCCTAAGCCTGGAACCTCCCCAGCATCGAACTCCTAGCAACTTCCCGCCAACTACGGGCCAATTCTAAAACCAGCACTCAACCATCTTCTTGAGTCTTGGCTTGGAACAAAACAGCAAACAGCTTTCCATGGGGGTTCAGTGCATGAAGGCTTGACTGCTTCTTGCTGGACGGTGTGAGAAACAGCGCCACGACTGAGCCACCAAACCAAACGATTGAAGAGGGCAGCGCCCAGCACCCCGCCAGTGACCAGCGGCTCGAACTCGGAGTACACACGGGTGGCCAATCCGTTTTCTTCGCTATCAGAGAGAGGCAGACCCGCCCCAAGGAAACATCCCCAGCGCAATCAGCCAACTTGTTTGGGTACCCTTTTTTTCGGGATGATTGAGGCAAAGGAAGCAATTGTGTGTTTCTTGAGAAACAAGCACATTTTGGGCGCCCTGTTCCTCCTAATGAGTCAGTTGGAAGCCGGCCCAGATCATGCCGCTCTCAACCCATCAGCAAACCCCAAACAACTCACAAACGGCAAGTGCGGCCGGCATGCAGAAGATTTCGTTGCACTCTGCATTCCCAAAAAACCAGGCATTCCCAACCCACCCGCGCAGCAAAACCACTAGCTCACCGGGCAAAGTAGGGTGAGATACCCTCTAAACAGCGCCATCTCCGCTTGACCTGCAGCAACTTGAGGCTAAGAGCCCCCGGCGCCAAGGTTTTTCAGCAGGGGCGAGCTGAACTTTCGGAGCTCCTGCGCGCGCAATTTTCACGCATTACTCGGGCTGAATTGCCTCGACAAGGCGGTGATGCGGCGCAGCTTCGAACGCGCCATGCGGTAATTTGACGGCGCTAATGCAACAAATCAATAGCTAAATCAACGCCGCGCTTTTCCAACCCTCACAGAAAATAGCCATGATCAAAACTTCACATGACGCTGCAAGCCTCGAAGCTTTGCCCATGCCAACCTTCGAAGGAGCTTGGGATGTTCTGTCGCCCTTGCTCATTGGAATCTCCAAGGTGTTTGTGGGACCTGCGATCTCGACCTGTCAACTTCGTCGGCTCATGGAGGGCTCCTCCTGGTTGTCGAAGCCCAGAACCTTGGCAGCCTTTGCCACCGTCATGTGCACCTGCCCGTGCCCAGCTCGCTCTCGTTTGCTGTGACAATGCAGTTGGGCAAGCATCTGCATCTCGGCATGAAAGCTCTGTGTCACCCAACCCAACTCACTCAGATAAGCGTTCTTCTCAATGAGAGTTGCTCTTCAATTTGCACATCCCGTTTTGTGGCTCTGGCAAACAGCGTGCCTGTGGCTGTGCGAAGGAAGATATGGCTGAAATGGGCACCTGGCAAGGCTGCGTCCAACAAGCGTCGCCTAAGGCCTGACAACAAATGCAATCAATCCATGTCAGTGTGCAATGTGCAACTGTTGCGCCGCTGTGGAATGCAACAGGTTCAGCCAGGTCAAATAAATGGACTCTACTGTGTGAGCCCCATCCCGATGTGTGGGCCTCCACGCGAGCATCGGGGTCCTGACTCCGCACTGTTGCTTTGCCATGCAAATCTGTCCAATATCATTGGAAATCCCGCGTTAGTCAGGTTGACAGCACTGGTTTCATTCACCCCAGGGTCACATTATACTACATTGCGTAGCATCACGTCACATCACATCACATCGCATCACATCACATTTTATCACGTGTCCAGTTCATTCCGATGGACGCATGGCGTTCCGTTTGAGTTCATTCCACGCATACATTTACATGACATCCCCCAGCCCTTTCTTCTTGAAATAGCCCGCAACAGGCACCGTCGCGTCCGGGGGAGTATGCGGGAGCAAGTTTTCCAATGTGGGAACTCCCCACTCTTTCTCTTTTGTGCACCCCGGGTTGGCAAGGTTGACTTGCACCCGCGGGGGCAACGGTGCCTGTTGCTGGCACCGCGTTGAGACGTCGTTGGTAATTTCATCGCGGCCGGTCTTTCAAAAAGAAAGGGGTGGGCAGGGCGGCCAGAGAGAGTGCACTGGCTTGTTGGCCGGACATGCAATCTCCAGCACGGCAGCGCTCGGAATCAAATCTGCCATCGTACTTGATGGTGTGCCAGGGCCAAGTTTTTGCGCCCAAAATGGGCGCAGAAGTCACGTTGAACAAGGCTCCCCCGACAGATCCACCCCAAGGACAAACGAGCCAGCAAGCAGACTAGCAAGCAAAAAGCAAACAAGCAAGAAAACAAAGCAAGCAACTGGAACACACAAAGCACAAAGCAACAAAGAAACAAAGAGACAAAGAAACAAAGAAACAAACAAACAAAGAAAGAAACAAACAAACAAACAGCCTTGCAGCGCAAGCAACTTGCAAGCGCCTCCCCAGCCAGGCTCCGATTCGAGCGTTCCCGCGCGCCCCCTCTTGTTTCAGGCAGAAACCTCGAGCAACTCCCAATCCTAAAGAAGCGAGATACTGAAATGGCTGTGGCTCAAAAGACCGGTACCAAAAGGGAACCCTGGTAAGTGGAAACATGGACCAAAACACGCGTAACCCCTCGTGTTTAATTTTGAGCCACACCCAAATAAAGGCAACATGCGTTGGACATCTCATCGAGAGCGTGAACGCATGGCCTTCGAACTGGCCGGGACTGTTCATGTGCCCTGAGACACTGCCACTGGCCATGGCGTGATCTGCATCACGCAAAAAAATTGGAGAGCTGTAAGTGCAACTTCAACCCCGCATGTGGCAGCGGGGATTTGTAGACGGACACCTCCAGAGTTTGTGCAGTCATGAACTGCTGCGGATCCTCGAAGGTCCTGAGGTGAATGCCCGACAAAATTTCCGGGTCCAAAGGCTGCTCTCTGCTTCGCTGGGCGAAGCTCGTGAGGGCACCAAACAAATGTTGCCAGTCCCTGGGCCGCACCAGCTTCTGCAGAGTCGGCAAGGAGTCTGAGGGTGAGGTGCGGAGGAAGCTGAGTTGCGCCTGCTCCACGTCCAGCTCTTGGCTGGACATATCCTGCGCGCAAAAGCCAAAAAAAGCAATCGCCAAGTTCGGAGCTCTTCGAACCTAAGCGAGGAAACAACATCCTCCCACTGAAAGAATCCTCACAATTTCAGATCAGGGCCTTCGATGATTCATGCAAGCCATGGGGTTTGCTCGCGTTCTTGATCTGGGGCGTTTCCAGCTCAGGCCTTCCTACTTGCGACAGCCTGAAGTCACATGTCCATGCCGATTCTCAGGTTTGAAAATCGTTAGCTCGACTCAGCGGCCAAGGGTCCACCAAGAGCGAGAGTCCCAGAATCTCGGGCAAAGACTGGGTGCCCAGGGAGCTCTCGCTGCAGCTGCCTCGCGCACCTCGAGGGCTCGATGCGACGGCGGGGGGGGGGGGGGTGCGAGGGAACTTTATGTATAATGTGAACGGGCCATTCGCCTTTTGATAACCAAGCCTTAGTTTGTAGAATTTTTAGAATTCTAGATGGTCCCAGCCCCAGCCCAGGAAAGGCCCAGCCGGGAACCTTGATTTTGCCAGGACCCTTGATATGTTGAGTTTATAGAATTTTGAGAACTATTAGACTTGAGTTCAAATCTAAAAATCGGACCCCCACAATCCAGAATTTTTAGAACTCAATTCTAAAAAATCTAAAACAAATCATGGATAATTTTTAGAATTCTAGATGGTCCCAGCCCAGGAGGGGCGCTGCCAGGACCCTTGACTTAAAGAGTTTTAGAACTTTTATTTTTTCCAATGAGCTCTAACAATTGGAAGATCTAAAAATCGGACCCCCGAAATTTAGAATTTTAGATGGTCCCAGCCCAGGAGGGGAGGACCCTTGATTTTTAGACTTTTGAGAACTTTTAGAGCTGAGCCCAGGAGGGGCGCTGCCAGGACCCTTGATTTTTAGTTTTTTTTTGAATTTTTAGAACTTAGAATTGTTGAATTGAGTTCTAAAAATTCTAAAAATCGGGCCCCAAGCATTTAGAATTTTGAGATTTTTTGGAATTGAGTTCTAAAAAATCCAAACATTCAAATAATCGGACCCCCGAAATGTGGAATGCTTAGAATTCTAGATGGTCCCAGCCCAGGAGGGCCAGGACCCTTGATATTTAGAACTTTTAGAACTTTTTGAATCTTTAAGAATTGAGTTCTAAAATTTCTATAAAATTCTAAAAACCGGATTCCGAAAACATAGATTTTTAGAATTCTAAAAATTCTAAAACCGGACCCTGAAATTTCAAATGTCAAGGGTCACCATCTAGAATTCTACAAAAATCCAACATTGAAGAATTTTGCGAGATCAATTCTATAGTTTGAAAATCAAAAAACATTACCTGGGCTGGGACGTGAAAGGCACGTCGCCCCCTTTTTCGCCACTACACATCTCGTTGGAAAAATGAGGAAGGGATGGGAAGGTGGACATGCCTCTCACTAGCTCGTAAAAGGGGTAGGAAGAGAAATGAAAGATGCTTGGGTGAGTGAAGGCATTTCCTTCCTTCCTTCCTCACCCTTTCATGCTACTCCTTTCTCTTCTCCACGCCTTTACCCTCAACCAAAAAAGTAGCTGTGTGTTGGAGAAAGCGTGGGAGAGGAAGGCTAGAGAGTGAGGGATAGAGATGAATGCTGGACCAGCCCTCACAAGGCTTCTCTCTTCGTTCGTCCATCATTATCTCTCCTCGTCAATGGTAAAGGTCCAAGAATAAAGACGAGGAAAGAAGATAGGAAAAGGACAGGCAATACTCATGCCTTCGCCAGCTCTAGAGCCAACATAAGAGAAGGAGAAGGGATGAGGGAGGAGATAGGATGAGAAGGAAAGCGTGATAAGGTGAGTGCCACACCCACCCTTCCCGCCCACTCTCTTCCCTCACCCACCTTCTGAAGCCTGCAGGTGACGATGAGCTAAGAAGTGAGTGAAGAGTCAGGACAAGCAAGGAAGAGAAAGGGAAACAGATGTTATTATCATAAAAGCATTTCCAGATTTAAAAAATATATAACAGAGATGCTCTCCATCTCTTGCCTTCCCTTTCTCGGAATGACAGGTAAAGATGATTGGGGAAGAGATAGAGAGTGAACGGTTAGACCACGAGCTGGGACAATAATAAAACATTCCAGCCCGCCAAGGTTTCACTCAACCCCTTCTCTTGACTCTCCCTTTCCCAAAGTAACTTATAACTGGGGGAGAGATTGGGAAAGAGAAGCTGGATAGAGGTGAAGAAAGAGGAGTTCATTTGTAATCGCCGGAAAGAATTTCCTTTCTCCTTTCCATTCTCACCGATGAAGAGATAGGAAAGAGAATTAGAATGAAGAACCCAGATGACATGAAAGACATTCTGGATTCTATCACATGACTAAGGGAACCGAGATGGTTGGATGGCCATCCATCTCCTTCCCTACTCTCTCATCTCTTTCCCCGCCCCCACCTCCATCTCAGCTTCAAGGAAGCTGTAGGTGGCGAGGAAAAGAATGAAAGGGGGAACAAGGTGGTAAGATAGGGTGGTAAGATAGAGGCTTGAAATCGGCGCGTTGCCGCTGGCCAATTATACTGCAGAAGGTATCCCTGACAAGTGAGTGAGTGATAGAGATGACAGAGAGACTGATGTAGGCAAGAGATGGAAAGGTCATAAGGCCAGATAGTCACCCTCCCCTCTCGCCAACTAACTCGACATGTCTTCACTTTCCAGGAATATCTTTTACCATCCTCATCCATCTCCCGCCCTTCTCTCCTTACCTCCCATCACCCAACCCCTGCTTCCGAGAAAAAGAGTTGGGGTGACAAAGGGAAACGAGAAGGGGGGAGAAATAAGAAATGGAGATTCCTTAGCCCGTCCTTCCTTGAGATCTTAGTGGTAGGCATTTCCTGTCTAGACTCTCCAGACCCGACCCCATTCAAACTGGATTATTGTAACCTCAGACATTGGAAGGGTCTATAATCTACAGCCTTATCTCTTGGTCATTTCTGTATCACCTATCAATCACTGTCATGTCTCTATTTTGCTCCATTGACAAAAAGACTTCTGAAGTCCATGACATCAATAATTGTAAGGAAAGAGAAACACCAAGAGCTGAGAAACACAATTAAACATGAGATACACAAAAATAGATTGTAAAAAACGTTGAATTGGAATTAGTTTCTGGATTGACCTGACCGTGCAAATCTGTGCGACGCTGCTATCCCTTTGTTTTTTCGTTAGATCAAGTCGCAAGTGCCGAAAAAGGAGCCGGTTCACATTATACGCAGTGTTCCCTGCCACGGGGGGGGGGGGGGATCTCATTGCAGGGTTGATCTGACATAAAAGCCAGCATCCACAGGATGTAAGTTGCAACCCTGCTGCTTGAAGCTCCCCCAGCTCTAGGCGGCATATATATATATATGTATATATGTGTGTGTGTGTGTGTCCCTTCTGGAACTCCCTGCAAGTACCAACTTGAGATTTCGGGGGCATGTGACCCTGGCCCCTGGCTCGCCTTGTCCTTCAAGCAAAGAGGCAGCTAGGTCATCCTCATTGGCCTCTCTAGTGGTAGAAGTGCAGGATGACCTAGACCAACGAAAGC